GTAGATCATTCTTGGTAAGGATGAAGATGATCGTACTTACTGTAGATCCAATGGGTTCATGGTTATGAACGGGATTTTTGATCTTGATGATCCAGCTCCCAACTGGAGGAAGTGATTTTGAGGTATTTTCGTTGGAGACTAGTGCTTGAAGGTGACTCGGAACGTTAGGGGCAAGGACTTGGGATGTTGTGAAGGCAAATGGGCAGTCGGTTTTGCGAGAACTGGAAGTGTTACTTGGTTTGACTCCTGATCGTTGACACTCGTACCGGATGCTGATGATTTCTGATGATTTTTTTTCTGAGGATCGTATGGTGATCTTGTATCCATTGGCAGCAGCATGGTCTTTGAGCATCGTTTGCATTGCGGTGAGGGAGGGTGCGATAAAGTCATGGGGTGGTGGCTGGAGGGTGGTTTTGCTGTTGGAGGTATGCATGTTAGATAAGTGCTCAGTTGGTTCGTGAAGGGGGATACTGCCCAGTTCTGGCAATGAAGCAACGGTCAATACATAAAGGTTAAGGGTGGTGGGGTATTGGTATGACATGTGCAAAACTAATGTGTGTCGAGTAACTTCCTAGGGTGGAAAGTATGGTGAGGGGGTAATGATAAGTTGGTGCGGTTTGTATGAGGTGGTGAGGTATGGGTGTATATATTCACAGATGGGTAGGTTCTGGATAAGGCGGGTATGAAGGTTCTTGTAGGGTACAATGGTTGAAGGGGTGGTGGGGTTTGGATAAAGGGCTGGTATGTTTTGGCTGACAGGGTACAGAGGTTTTCGAGGGGGTGTGATATTTCCTTTGGGTGGTGGAAATTGTGTGGGGTGGTGGGTTTTGAAATCAAGGGTGGTGGATAATCTGTAGGGTGGTGATGAGTGTTGTGTAGGTTCTCGAGGTGGGTGTAGGTCTCCTTAAGGGAAAGTTGGACTTAGGAAAATTTGGAGGTCACCAGGATCCTTCTTAAGATGATCAATCATCTTGGCAGGGGGAGTCGAACACCATTGGGTCATACAGACGTCTGTATGGCCCAATGGTATAGGGTACAAACATAACTGTACAGGTGACTGCACTCGTGTGTCTACGTAAACACAATTATTGAAATCCAGAACCATCAAGAACCACCATTGGTCCATCGCTACCGGTATTTGCCGGTACGCTTTGGCCCAATCGAACACCCCTAATACCACTTTGCCTTCGTGAGTTGTTATAAACCAGGCCACCGTTCGGAAATCATCCCAGGTTGTCTCGAAGTCGTCTTTATCGACTCTGAAGTTTACTGACTCGATTTCCGGGTCGTTTTTTGGATAAGATAGGTTACTAATTGGCCTAAATGAGCCATCGCCGTTTACGACCGCCCCTAGAGGGTTTGTTCTGAAGAATCCGATTTTCTCATACGCTTCCTCCTTGGTCCACGGACCGAACATTCTCCCTTTTTCTACCTCCATCCTGAAATTTTCTTCTATATTTTCTTTCGCTCGTATTGCTGATTTATGATTTTCCGGACAGAAGAACTTTACCCCCCGAACTGTTGCATTTCGTATGCCTTGGTCGAAACCTTTTTCGAAACCACGTATAATGTGCCGGTACTTTTGTTCTAGTCCATATTTCTTCAGTTGTTCTTTCCAAACCTGTATATTCATCTCACAGGAGGGTTTTGTCGGCCATACCCGTCCTCTTGAGATATTGTCTATCACGTTACTCTCTCGCAAGTCTGGTAAGATTAACTTCTCTCGGTCTCCGGGTCTTTGTTGGTCAACTGGGTCTGAATCCCTGCTTGGTTGTATTTGGCCGGATCTCGAAGTGGTGGTCCGGTCCACAGGGTACCTGGACGTGGAAGTGGAAGCAGGTACTTCATGGGACGGGTTTTGCTCAACGTTTGGCTTTGGTTCATTTTGATCTTTAAGATCGGGAAACGGGGAGCTTATTTTGGCAAGGCAAATACATTTAAAAAATGTTAGTTGTCAACTTCTCTCTTTTGGCACTTATCCACGAATTCATTGCACGATTGATACACAACATTACGCCACTTGGATTTGTAGGCTCACGCTTTCCTTCCTTTTACAGGATTTCCATTCTTGTCTCTGCGATCAGGGCTTCTGCTTTTATCTCGTTGACCAGCATACCTGTCTGAGCTATAACGGTCGTCTCTCCTCCAATGGTTACGACTCCTTCCATCGTCATTCTTTCCTTTATAACCTCCTCCACTTTTCCCCTTTCCATTTCCTTTATACAAACTGGTATAGGAGTGTCGATTTTCTGGCTGGGTTGTCGTTGAAGTTGCGTTTGTCATACTCGACTTCGACTTATTTGTTAGGGGGCAGATGTTGGCCTTAGGTTTTCCAGGTGCATATGGGTTTGTCCTATAGTGCCTTTCATTAAAGCTTTCTGCAGTAGTCTTCGCTTCTGCTAATAATGTCTCTTGAAGTTCGGCGTAGTTACCGATCGACTTGTCGACAGTCTCACGCATCACGCCCTGTCTCACTAACCGACAATACCTTAATGCTACCATCCAGCCGAAGTCCTTCCGTAATTTTTTGACGACAGCAATGTGACCTTCGAATTTCTCTGCGACCGGTTTCCATCCGCAAGCAATCAGATGGCCACAAAACAATTCCATACAATCCCCCCATACCTCAAAATCAATCGTGAGTTCCTCTACGGGTGCCTCTCCTCCGTAGATCCGGGCTTCACCTGACTCTTTCTTATCTGATTTTGTTGTTCTCGTGGACCACGCTTTTTGGTCTTTTACAAGCCATTCTTCATCGAATACCGTTAATTGAATATAAGATGTAAGTCCTTTCAAGATAATTGTTAAACCTGGTGAAAGCGGTGCCAATGATTCCTTCATTTGTGCATTTCCACCTTTCAGTATGCGACCATTATGAACTATGTCACCATTCGCCATTTCCAAGGTTCCTCTCTTTGAGCTCATAATCGCATTTGCTTTGTCTGACTCTTCCTTTGAGGATGCTCCTTCGAACCAAGCTGACTTATTCTCCTCTGTTTCAACTCGTATGGCAGGTTGATCCGCTTTGGTCGTCGGTTGGGTTTCAGGTAATAACAAGACGTTGTTCACAGCTGGCGGGACCACCTCCCGTATGAACGCTACCGACGTTTCACCTGACGTTTTCGAATCCGTTTCTTCTTCATCTAGAACGTAATCTTGTCTTTCTCGAGGTTTGTCTTTCTCTTTCTCGAGCAAGTCTAACAGAACTCCGGCTGCTGCATCGTCTCCTCGAGCGTACGCTTCCTGGATCAAAGCGCCTAAAGTGATCCTCCGCGACCCTACGATAATCCAATTGAACGACAATTTCCACTGAATCAGTATTTCGCTTTTTCTCGTACTGCTCGTAATTTTCATTTAGCCGGGCCATCCATCACTTGTTTCTGGGACACGTTTCTTGGGACACGGCCCTGTTATCCACTTTTTTGACTCCTACTGTAAGCCGGGTCTGGCTGGGTTACTATTATGGGCCGCACCAGGCAATTTGGACACCTACTGTAAGCCGGGCCTGGCTGGGCACCTATTCTGAGCCGGGCCAGGCTGTGTCTCCTTTCCAATTCGAAATTCCAAATCCAATCCCTCGTTTCCTAATTCAGAACAAGGAAGAGAAACAACTGCAGAAGTAATTTTCTCCTACTTTCCACACTTTGCCTGATATGTTGGCTTTTTTGTTAAATTTATATGTGGTTGATTTCTTTGGATGTTTGGAATTGGTCGATAGAAAAACCGAACCAGAATATAGGACATTTGTTGAAATTTTCTTGAAGATCTATGGAATAAAGAAAGGAAAAGGGTAGAATCGAAGAGAAAAGGGGAATAGAAAGGGAGAGGAAAGAAGTTCTTGGAAAACAGATTTGTAATTCTAACTCTGCTCACCTTGTAAGTTTTGGCCTTCTAACTCACTTCTTTGGCTCTCCTCCTCCTCCTCTCCTTCCTTTTCCTCTATCCCTCCCCATTCTTCATCTTCTCCTAAACCTTGATTTCCTTCCGTTCGATTCTCCCGGTGTCCTAATTCTTGATTTTCCTTTTCTCGTCTTTCCTCCATAGCTCTTCTCAAACCTCTAGGTCTCCTTCCCCGCAGACTTCTGTTGTTTGAAGGAGTTTGCATCGATGTACGACTTCCTCCTCGAGTCCGACGTCTAGCCGCGTTGGTTCCACGCTTCGGCGTTAACAGACGGTTTCCGGGTCTTATGCCCGTAGTCGCAGCCGCCGCTCTGGTTAACCTCCGATTCAAGTTCTCTTCAGTTTGATTTATCTGATTCTGAAATGACATGTTGTTACTTTTTCTGTATCTTCTTAGCTTCTTATAACTTGACTTCTTCTTTTGACTTTTGAAATTTGTTGGTTTCCTTTGTAATTATTTAAAAAAGTTTTTTCACTTCGCTTTAAAAAGAAGATCGATAAAGATGAGCAGTGATACCAGATATCTTCAAACTCGGGCTTTGAAACTATAACGCAGGTTAAGTGAGTCGAGTTGAGGCAAAAGAGATTTGTATTTTCCTTGCACGACTCCGGTACCTCGCGTGACATGTAATCTAGTATGTCACGTACTGGTTTCACTGCTCGTGGACTCCTCCACCAAAACGTACCTTTTTTGGTGTGTCTAATCATAACACAGTAATTGTCGTACGACGTTTATTTCACGAAACAAAGACATCAAAGTGACGGATATCCATCTGTCAAAGGGAGAAACGACGACGATTTGTAACCTCGCTACAACTAAATCAACACATCGGTCGATACATGGTTCAACAAACCGTCGACGGAACAAATCAAGAAACATTCGGCCACATTCGGCATACCAATCAAATTCTTGGGTGGAAGTTGAAGGTTCGTTCAAGGAAGAGGAAAATATGTATATGCTCAATTCTGATGATTGCGCTTTGAGGCTTACTTTGCCTTCCCGCCGCCTCCGTACTTCGGGCCATTCACATCTCCTCTACGATCTTCCCGTCGTTCATCTTGACGCCACGAACCACTACCTTCACCTCTTTGATTAGAGTATCGAACACCGTCTCTTCCGCCACCACTACGATCAAATTCGCGTCCTCCATTACCACCATTGTATCTTCCTCCGTTACCACGACCTCGCACTTGACGACCTTCACCTCTTCTATCTTCCCAACTTTGATAACCTGAACCGTAGCCACCACTTCCTGATCCTTCGAACAATGACTGCTGGTTTGAGTGTAACCAAGATCTGGCATTAGGTTTACCATAGTGAGTCGCGTGATGACCATTAGCATTGGAGGCCGTGTACTGCTTCTGAATTCCAAATGGGTTGTAATCCCCAGTTATTGGATTAATGTTGGCCTTAGGTTGACCGTCTGAGTAAGGGTTGATGTCCTGAAACCGAGGTTGGAAGTCACCTAAACGTTCAGTTTCATTCCTGGCTTCACGTTCCTTAGTCTCGTCTCGAACCGCTGGATTAGCTAATTTACCGTCTGCGTTTTTGAAGGTCATCACACTGCATCTAATAGCTTGATCATATCTAAATGCCATAATCCAAGACACCTTTTCTCTTTTGATAGCCAGGACATTCTCTCTATGAGTCACAAACCGATCCGCTAAATCTCCATGGCCATAATAGCGAATATAGGAAATGAACAAGTCGAAGGCGGAGATCCATTCTCCAAAACTCATCTTCCATTCATCAGGCATAGGTAAGCCACTATAACGATCATCATCGCTGTCTTTCTTCTTTGTAATTCTTTGAGATTGTCGAACTAAGGCCAGCTTTAACCATTGCGTGTTAAAAATTGATAGGGGGATGTATCCTTCAAAGGGCTTCATCTTCGAGTCGAAGTATGGTAATAGTGCGACTAACCCATCGGCCTCGATTCCAGAATCACTAACTTGTACCTTCTTCTTCTCAGGTACAGCTGGATCGTCATCGTCTTTCGTAAGATCAACTTGTTTGGGGGCTTTCTTCGTCACCACCTTCTCTTTAGGTGCACCCGACACCGTGGCCGACGGTTGTACCGAGTTTGTAGATGCGGCGGTATTCTGAGTCGCAGTGGGGCCAAGGTCTCGCGATGCAGGAGCAGACGACGTTGGCTTATTGACCACTACAAGTCCCCTCGCCGTTAACCACGATTGGAGTCCCCGAGGAGGACTTTCGCCTACTTCCGTAACTGTGTTTCTGCGGGTAGGGGAGCGTACTTGAACCGAAAGGAAGAGAAGATACAATAGTCTTAGATGAACATCCTGAATGACTCTCGTAATCGAGGCTTCACTTCTAAGTGGCATCACCAAGGGTGGGTTGTATCTTTCTCGCTTCGCTCTATGCGGCATCACTTCACGTGGTAATTGAAATCATTGTAGCTTACAGTTTGGTACATTGTCCACATTATCCCTCGACAGCAAACCATTGGAATGTATCACGGAAGTATTCGAGACTCCAGGTGTAACGTCTGAGTTGGACTGGGCTCTGCCCTGGCCTTCTGTTGCTTGTGCGTTTGAAGAGGTTTGATTTTCTTCACCAGGTACCGTCAAAGTGACAACAGGGGTAACTGATTTTTGACCAACATTACGGCTCGATGCAGTGAGAGATCCACGACCACGACCACGACCTTGACCCCTAAGGTTCGCAACCGTCCCACGAAGATTGGCAACAACAGGAGCTGGAACTACCACATCCGAATCAGGTGGAGGGACTGATCCTCCTCTCAGTCGGTTACTGGTTCTTCTCATTATCTCGTTGAAGTTCGCTATATTTGTTTCTTTTTGGTTGGAGTTAGACATTTGTCAAATTTGTTCTTGGGTATAGTAATCGATGGTGCAGAGTAATTTTCTAAGGTGACCTTCCGATTCGAAAAAGAGAACTTCAAGCTAGAGAGCTTGATCTGTGAGAAATGAGAAGAGAGAATTTCCTGATATGAGCGTTGGATTGCGAATATGGGGAATTGACGCGTGGGAAAAATTTTCAAGGTTGAGAATTTTTCCGTTGACCTGAAATGGTCAACCGAGCGTCTGGGATGTATCTTCACTATAAAGATACTCCCTGTAATTCACCCATAGTCCGATCCCGCTCGTATCGTGGAAATAGGTGGTACCGTCGTGCCTTTGGGTACCGCCCGCCATTCTCAACTGCAGCAATTTTCTGTTCTAATGAATGTAGTGGAATTACTTCAAGATTGATTGAGAGAACTGTTGGCATCTACCAATTGCTGAAGCAAAGGTTTATCCCAAGTGAAGGATTAGGAAAGGCTGTGGTAGCTTACTTAACTAAGAGTCCCACTCAGACAAGCAAGTAGTCAGGAGACACCACCAACATATTTACCCTGGATTTTTCAATCCAAGGTATCATCGGATTCCAAACCTCAGACAGAAGTTGTGCAAGGTTTTGATCCAAAGCAATTCTCAGCGCAGAAGATTACCTCAGACAAAAACCTTGGAAAAGGTCTGCTTGAAGATTTACCTCGGATGATGCCTCAGATTCCGCAACCCAAGGCATCTATGTTGGCAGTGAGAGGGACTTATGGCTCACACATGAAATTTGGTGTGTGAGCCATTTTTTTGGCTGGGGACTTTTTCAGCCCTTGATTGCTCTGTCCCCTGCAAATAAATATCCTCTGGAACCAAGAAAGGCCTTATGTGCCTGCTCAACCTACACATATTGGGTCTTTTGAATTTATTTCTGGGGTTTCAGAAAGTGCTAGAAACAAGACTTGAAAAAATTGGGTTGTGTGTGACAATCCAGCTTGCCTGGGCCTGGTGTGAGGTTTGGCACATTGGACAGCTTTCTCAGGAATTGTGGTGTTTTTTCCAAACTCTAACCGCTCATTACTCTGCAATAAATGAGTCAGATAAGGAGTGAGATACATTCAGGTGTGTAGAATCAGTGGGCACACAAGACCTTTCTTGGGTCCAGGACATATTTATTTGTAGGTGACAGAGCTATTGAGGGTTGAAGAAGTCCCCAGCCAAACAAAATTGGCTCACACACACCAAATTTCATTGCCACTGGTGGCCAAAGGCACAACGTCATCTGTGAGGTCCATTGGGACAGACGACGCGGTGTATGAGCCAAAACACAGGGCCGGGAAATACCCGGGCCCACCAAAGAGAGAGATAATACAAATCGTGAAAATTTTCATTTTCACAATTCTGTATACCTCTCAACGCTCATACACCTCAGCTAGAATTTACGATTCTTGAAGTTCTAAGACTTCCAAAAAAAGAAATAACAAAGTTTTCATTTTCAAACAAAGAAGACATGGATGGCCAAGATCAAGGATCAACACAAGCATTCAACAAAGACGTGAATAATATTTTAGTTCAACATGAAAAAGAGAAAGGAAAACTTGAAGAAGGAAGTCAATGTGGCAGAGGAACAAGCAGAGCAACTAGAGGAAGAGGTAGAGGAAGTAGAAGAGGAAGAGGAGGAACGGCAACAACTAGGAAAACAAGAAGTATAACAAAAGGAAAAATCAGAGAACCGAGAGAAGAACTAGAAAAGGAAGGAAACGAAGAAGGAAGTGAATTGTCAGATATTGCGAGCGTGGGAAGGATGGAGGAGAAGGAAGAAGAAGGAGATGTGGAAGATAAGGATATGGAAGAGAATGAGGGAGATGAAGATATCATTTCATTAGGTAAGTTCCAAAGAGTAATATCAGACACCCACTTTTTCATATATCCTCCACGCGCCCTTTCATTTCTTCATGTCCTCAAGAAAAATCATCAATCGAGAGAAAAGACTGCAACCACACGGGTGGAACGGATCTCAGAAAAATATGGCTAGATGCAAGAAAGAAAGAAAGACCTACAATAGATGTGGAAAGTTAAAAGGGCTTGAATAGAGAAACATATCTCTGGCTTGATAGGAGAAATATATCTTTGGCTTGAATAGAGCAAACGTCTCTGGCTTGAATAGGGAAATATTCCCCTGGCCTGAATATCTTGATATAAAATCAATAGATAAGATGTGGATAGAGCAAATGTGTAAAAAGATGTGTTGTGATGATAAGCCGTGTGAAGAAATAAGCCGTGTTGAAAGTGATAAAGCTACAGGATAGCTAACGAAGACGTGTTTTTGTTGTGTGATTTGGTGGTGGCAGAAGATGAAGCAGATTTTGTTGCTGAGAACGCACATATTGATAGAGAACATGAAAGGTACCTTGCGGAGTTAACGAGACTTTATCGAAAGGGGAACACCGGCAGATACGACATTCTCGATAAAGCTTACACCAAATGATGCGAAAGAATAGGAACTGATCCGAGAGGTATCAAGATGTTAGATGCGTCAAGTGAAGAAGATGAAGATGTAGAGCCAGGTGCTGGGAAAAGGAAGGCGAAAGAGTGCGGTACCAAGGAATTGTCGAAAGTGGCTAAGAAGATGAATCACGGAAAGTGTTAACGCACCGATTGATAGACCTAGCTCCTTACTGGGATAATAGGATGAAAGCTTGCTTTGGTTACGTACCATTCACAATCTTCGTACCGGCATGGCTTCTGGCGGACAAGAATCTTATGTCGAATTGGCGAAAACAAAGTTCTTCTTGCTCAGACGTGGTGGCGTATGTAGGACTAAGAGTGCCGAGTGAATGGAGACAGAGTTTCTTGATGTGGTCAACGTTGTTCCACTTGAATGTTCAATATTGGCGGATGAAATATCAACAGGAAGAGATTGCTAGCAGGCTGGAAGAGCATTATAAAATAGTGTTAGATATAAAGGCAAAAAATCATGACGCATTTGCTCCTGCACTGAGGTATGACATCACTCACAGAACAAACGTGTTCAGTCATACGCTTGAGGATGGTTCTTTGTCGGATGTCGGAACTCGGAACGAAGACCTTGTAGAGCAAGCGATAACGGATTCGAAAGCGAACAAAGATCACCAATATTTTGATAACCCGTATATCATAGGTGGTGCAATGGAAAATGTGAATCCAGCAACGGGCAGGTTTCAAGTCGGTTGGGATATGATATCAAACGGAGACGAACAAATCACAGCAGTGACAGGTGGCCGGATGTTGTCCCATTTAGCACCAAGCGGGAGAAATCAATTGCACGCTCCGGCCGGCCAATTCTTCGGTGAAGTGAATAGTCATTATAGCAATCACCAGCAAGAGTCTGTAGAAGGAGCAGGAGGTGTGAATTTTCATCAGGGTAGTAGAGGAAGAGGAAAACGCGGCAGAGGTTTTAACAGAGGAAATGGAAGTAGAGGAGGAGGTACACGAGGTGGGGCACCCTCAGGCCCTACGACTGTAGTGAATGGGGTAATGGTACCAAAGTTCGGCCCAGGAGCCTTTGAAGCAGTTAAAGCGGCGAAGCAAGCCGGAGTAAGTGGGAATAGCGCAGGAACACAGTAAGTAGAGACATGATTATATTACTCTTCGTTTTCTGTTTTTCATGAAAGAAGATATGGGGAGTTGCAAATGTCAGCTATGAAATGAAAAAATATGCCCTTTTTTATAAGATTCCTTGTTAGATGAGATGAGCGCGCCTTGTGAGAAGCAAGAAACATTGCTGAGACACACCTGAATTTGACATTGAACGCATTCCAGATCGTCACAAGTGAGAACGTTGACAAACCCGTCGAGCGCAACGACAAAGGATCAAATTGAGAGGACAGAAGAGATCCTTGGAGAGAGGAGACAGCCAGATTTGTTGTTGAGAGAAGAGACGCAAGAAAGAAATGGTGATAAGACAGGGAAACGAGATACAGACGTCAAATGTCGGAAATTGACGAAATGGCCAGTGAGAGCAAGGTGTGAGATGGACATTAAGAGGTGGAGAGAATTGGCTAGAGAGTGTGGAGTCGAAAGAGAAGTAGGAGGAGTGATAGAAGGCTTGGTAGAAGGGTTCACACAATGAATTCCGGAGCACTATTTGGGAAAGAAGAGGTGGTGGACACCAGACAACCATAGCTCAGCCCTAGCAGTAAAGGAGAAAATAATGAGGAACTTACAGAAAGAGAAAAAGGCGGGAAGAGTATTTGGACCTTTTTCACACGAAGAGGTATATAAGAGGTGGGGTTTCTTCAGGACAAACCCAATGGGGAGTGTAGTTAACAACGACGGTTCCCTACGGATGATAAATGATTTATCTTATCCGGTAGGAGATGAGGAAATACCTTCAGTCAATTCGATGGTAGACAAACATGAATTCAACACGTCATGGGACGACTTCTATGCAGTAATTAGATACTTCAGAGAACACTTTCACGAAGTCCTATTGATGGCGATATACGACTGGGAGAAAGCTTACAGACAAGCCTGCACAAAGGAAGAAGAGTGGTGTTACCTAATGATAAAGGATTTCTACAACAGAATCTGGATGGACATAGCTGTGCCATTTGGTGGTGTAGCGGGATGTGGAACGTTCGGAAAGGTGGCGGACGCGTGGAGGTTGATAGTTCAGAGGAAATTGAAAATAGACCAAATATTCAGATGGGTCGACAATAATATGATTGTAAAAGTCAAGGGTGATAAGCTGATGATCGAGGACGTAGTGAAATTGAGTACGGAGATGGGCGTGAAGACAAATCAGGAGAAAGTCAGAGAATTTAGTGATGAGCAAAAGTATTTGGGATTTATCTTCAATGGACAGGATAAGATGGTGCAGCTGCCGGAGGAAAAATTAGCGGAAAGATTGGAAGCGGTAGAGAAGATGTTAGGGGAAGGACCTTGGGGATTGAAAGAAGCAGACTCAATTATCGGGAAGATCGCGCATCTAATGTACATAGTGCCCCATATGAAGCCGTACATGAGAGGTTTGTACGCGTGGCTCAACCCGTGGCAAAAAACAAACGCCAAACGGTTCTTGTCGAGAGCAGCGAGGTGCGATTTACAAAGTTGGAAGGAGGTGTTGAAAACATTTGAACCAAGGCGCATCATCCCTGCGGTGGAACCAGAGAGAATCGGATGGGTAGGTGATGCAAGCGGATTTGGTTTAGGAGTGGTGACAGATCTCGGTTGGGTGAGATTCAAATTGAAAGAAGGTTGGCCAACGACCGGATTGAAAGATGATGAGACACGTCGTGACATTGCATGGGCCGAAATGGCAGCGATAAGATTAGGTTTTCTGTTGTTAGAAGTCTCGACCAATATGAGAGGACGAAATTTCTGGGTCAAGACTGATAACACGACCACAGAGTCTACAATCAATAAACGAAGGTCAAAAAGTGAGCAAATGAATTTACGCCTACAGTGTGATATAACGGAAGAACGAGTCAAGTCAGGAGATAGCGAGGCAGACGGTTTATCGAGAGGCTTGGAAGAGGAAGATCAAGTCGGAGAGAGGGTGAAGATCGAATTACCAGACGATCTAAAATTGTTATTAGTGGAAGCATGATTTCAGCAAAGACGGAACAGAAAATTAAGTTATTCTTACAAAACGCAAGAGGAGAAATTAAGTGGAGAGAAAATTGTATTCAAACTCACATGTTATCAGGAGGATGGGCGGAATCGACACTTATCAATTATAATAGTGGTGTATCAAAATTATTAAAATTCACGCAAGAAAAAGAATACGACAGGAAACGATTGTTACCGATGTCATTAAATGTATTATATAAGTTTGTAGCTTGGGCAGGAAAGAAGCTAGAAGGAGACGGGAAGACAGAAAAGAACGATCAAAACATGACGATCGAGGTGGAGACATTGAAAAAGTATCTTACGGGAATAAAGTGTTGGCATTTATTTCACGATGAGGAGTATCCTAAGTATGATCCCTTGAAGCTTTCGATCTTGTTAAAATCGTCAAAGATGGCAGAGGCGGTGATCAGAGCGTCGGAAAAGGAAAGGAAAGAGCCGGTAATGTTGAAGCACCTCGTCCAGCTGCTAAAGAAACTATCAAATGGAAGTAAGAGAGATCAAGTTGCGCTGACGATAACGCTGGTAGCTTTCTGGGGAATGGCACGTTTAGGAGAGTTAGTGTCAGACAATAAGAAAAAGAAGTTGATTCAGTTCAGAGACTTACAAGTAACAGGACAAGGAAAGAAAGTCACAATCGCCTTACATAACGCAAAAACGGCACAACCAGGCCAGATACAGTATATCAAATTAAAAGAACAACAATCATATCTTGATGCTACGTCAGCGTTGTGGAGAATGGTAAGAGATAATCAGACAGTTCCGAAGGACCCCCTATTTTCCTATTTAGAAAATGGACAAAGGAGTATCATATCGAAGGCAAAGTTGATAGGGATATATAAGAGAATTTGGAAATCAAACGAAGAGGGTTCAAAGCTATCAGGTCACTCCTTTCGAGTTGGAGGGGCGACTTTCAGATGGAACAAAAAAAGGCCTTTAGAAGAAATTGTAACAATAGGAAGGTGGCAGTCGAAAGCGTATCAGCTTTATCTGAGGAAGTACAGCAAGGAGGAGAAAAGAGAAGCAAAAGAACTGTGGGAGTTATTGGCATTTGATGAAGAACAGAAGAAGTGAAACAAAAGTGAGTAGTTGGATCAGGATAATGGAATGAGACAGAGCTAAAAAATCCCTCTCCAGGTCGAGTTTAAGAGAGCAAAAGGGAGGAATCAATGGGAGAGAGGGCAAAGGGGTAAAACTAGAGATTCTTGGAAAGGGTGCTGGGGATTTATACAAGTGTTGGGGGCGTACAGTAAATATTAAGTTTAGCAGAGAATTCAATTGCAGATCCATGCAACAACATACAGTATGATCACCACGCAAACCGGAAACTTTATCTGGACTGATGTCGTAGATGGGTTTTTGACGGGCTCAGGACGCCAACCGTCCAGAGATCGGGAGGTAGAAAACCCCCTCTCGGACAGGCAGTCCCCGGGCTTACGCCCCCCCCACACCAGGTCAGAGCCTGATTAAGGCAAAGACCTAAATAAAGACTGTTCGTCTTAGGAAGGAAGGTTGACAAAAAAGATTACCCAACAAAACAAAAAGAGAAATACAGAAGAATAAGAACCATGAGTGCTAATAAAGCAAACAAACAAATTGATGAGAACAACACTTAAGCGAGAGTGAGAGCATCAATCACATATGAGTAAACTAAAAGCTGAACAAGGAGAAGTCAGAAGATGGACGTATAAGCCACAAGTCCCTCTCTTGATTGCTTTCTTGTCCAAGAGAGACTTAGTTAAGTTAGTGGTGGCAGGTATATTCAGAAGAAAAATGTAGCTAGTGTGTAGTCACTGTTCACTTTATCTTACAAGTATTGTCAGGGTGGCACTTACTCTAGTAGTTAAATAGTTAATATTTAACTGAGGAACCTGACAAAGAATCCTATTGGATACGTAGGATGAATAATATCTATTATAAAGGTAGGAATTTCCTTTATATCAGTAACTTGTTTCGAAAGGGTACTAACCACGGTATACGTAAATATAAACGTGACAGAAAGTTCCACGGCCCACTGTTGGTTAACAGACGGAACTGGTCAGGTTCCGAGCCGAGGATATTTTCTCGAAGACGGGATCAACGAGTAGCCTGGGTTTTGAAGCCTCAGGGATCTTATCAACTTTACGTTGTAAGAACAATGGCACTTGACCAAGATGGAGTTTTACTGTCTCGAAACAGGGACAGTAAAAGAAAAGAGGAAAAAGGAATAGGTAGTGAACCTGGTCTTTTACTTACAGTTTAGGTAAGATCAAATGACTCTTTATACTTTGCGTTCGTAGTAACTGGGCTTTTGTAGTGAGTGGAGATATACTTTTAGGAAGTATAACTGGACTGCGAAAAAGCTTATAGTTGCTTCTGGTTGTCGTAGATGAGTGTCCCCTTTTCGAACTCGGGAGACCATCTCTCTTTATATGCTTTTTCAAGGTGGCTGGCTGACTTGTGGTTCTCAGTCATTGTTATTGATAGTTCCCAAAGGGGAGACTCTTCTGGCTAACTCGTGGTTTGGCCGGATTGGGAACTCAGTGAATCCTTGCTTGGTCAACTCGTGGTTGAGCTCAAACCTGAAATGCTAGATTCATTTCGTTTTGTCCTTCGGGTTGCGTTACTGTGTTCTGATCCTCAAGCCGGCCTCGTATGGTGTCTTCTTAGTGGGTTCTTTTTAGTTTTACCTCTAGGAATGTTAGTCTTGGTTTCTCAGGATTGTTCCTCTTGGAACTAGACACGAGGTGTCTTGTGGGGATTTTTGTTGTTACCTTTGACTTAGGTACTCATAGTTTTGTTTTCAAGTATTTGTTGTCTTTGAAACTAGACACACGATGTAGTATGATGAAAGGAGAAATATATATATTTTAATTTTATTTATTTATTAGTTTTTATTTAAGTTGTAGTCTCTTTGGCTTCAGCTAGCCTGAGCTCGGAGGCTGACATTCCCCAACCACAAGGAGACGTACCCTGAACCGTGGCTCTATGGTTCAGAGGGATCTCTTCTCTGCTCTGAATTTTCTTAACAATGCTGTCGAATTTGGGATATCCTTAACTTCTAACCATTTATCTTCGTCTGCGTTACCGCCCTTGATTCTTGCGAGGTAGAGACGTGTCTCTTTGCCTTGGATGCGCACCATCTTTTCATTGATAATCTTTTTAATAGCCCCGATTGGCTCGTCGTGCACTGGTAGGTCTTCTTCTGGCGGGATCTGCCTATTAGGGAATTCTGCTGCGTCTGATTTCTCGTATTTTTTGAGCAGGGAGACTGGGAAGACCGGGTGTTTCCTGGCAATGCTTCCTGTTAGTATAACTTCCACCGCATTCTTGCCGTGGAGAGCTTTAACGATGTATGGACCTACAAATGCATCGATCATTTTCCTGGGACCTTTCAAGTTGGTGAAATTGATTGTCGATATGAGAACTAGGTCTCCTACTTGAAATTCTGGCTCTCTGTGTGATTTGTCCCACCGTTGTTTGTTTTATTCTGCAGCGGCTCTTATGCATTCCATTGCGCGTTTTCTTGCCTTGCTAAGCATATTGTTAAAGCTCACCGCCGTTGGGTGGAAGGTTGAATCTCCCCTCTGGATCGAAGTTCTCGGAGTTCTGACGTTATAGCCCCTTTCCACTTCGAAAGGTGTTTTACCTGTGGTGCTATGAACACTTGAATTGTAAGCAATCTCTAAAGCGGGTAATAAGCTTTTCCAATCGTGGGTATACCCGTCCTTGTCTTTGAATTCCAGGCCATACGCGCAATATCTTCTGATGAGTTCAGATATATTACCAATTGCTCGTTCTGCTAACCCATCCGTTTGTGGGTGATATGTGGTAGACATGGCCAGGGAGGTTCCGCACAGTTTATGCAGGCTTCGCCAGAATTCTGACGTAAACTTGGGGTCTCTGTCGCTGATAATTACCCTCGGAAGTCCTGAGTCGGTTATGATCCTTTCCCAAAATAGTAATGCTATGTCCATAGCTGTTGCGTCCTTGTGGCACGGCAGGAATCTACATCTCTTCAAGAACCTGTCGACGACTACTAACACGCAATCTACATTATCGTGGCCTCCCGGAGGTAACCCGGTCACAAAGTCCATGTTTATTGTATCCCAGGGGATTTCGGGTTCTTCAATTTTTTGCATCAAACCAAATCGTTTTCCTGTTGCTTTATTCGCTTTTTGGCACCTGTCACATGTACTGGTGTAATCTTCTGTCGTTGTGCGCCATTGTGGCCACCATGCCGTCTGCTTAACTCGGTCCAGTGTCCTGTCCAATGATAGGTGACCTGACATTGGGTCGTCGTGACATATTTTAAGAATACTCGTTTTCATTTCGGCTGTTGTGATAACCATCACACATGCGTGTTTTTCTCAGTGGTAGAGGATCCCACTGAGGAGCGTGAATCTTCCTTCGTCAAAGGATTTTTTCCACAGTCCCTCTAAGGTGGATGAGAGGTTCAGCGCTTTGCAGTCTTGTTTGAGTAACTCTAGTAATTTAACTGTGTTAGGTTCTGATAAGTAATCCTCTTTTATCTGCTTGAAAAATTCCTCGGACATATCCGATATGCTAATACCCATGATTGGAAGGTCCCGGTTACTATCTTCTGGATCCCATGCTGGGTTATCGCTATTATTAGCTAATGCCATACGACTCAATGCATCTGCGTTTTCGTGTTTTCTACCCTCGCGATGCGTGATTGTCATGCAGGATCAATACTCCTGGATGGCTATTTGCCATCTTAGCATGTGCCTATTTGGTGTTTTCATGTTAAGGAGTGATTTGAGTGCTGTGCAGTCTGTTATTACTTTGAAAAAAGATCTGTCCAGGTAATAATGGAATTTTTCTAAAGCCCATACTAGGCATAGGTTTTCTAGTTGCGTAGCACCGTAGTTTAGTTCTGATTGTTTCAGTTGTCGTGATATGCAGCTGATCAGTCCTTCTGTTGGTTTGTCTTCCACTATTTGTACTTGTTGTAAGGTAGCTCCTAGGCCATCGAAACTCGCGTCCACGTACACTTTGAAAGGCAGATTGAAATCTGGGTGTATTAAGAAAGGAGCCTCCGTCAATTTCTTTTTAAGGTTATTCCATGAATCTACCCTTTCTTTTGTCATTTCGAAGGTGAATCCTTTTTGCAGTAATTTGTACAATGGGCCACTTACTTTTGCAAATCCTTCTAAGTGGGATCTATAGTAGTTAGCGAATCCAAGGAATGATTGCACCTCTTTCACCGATTGTGGGATAGGTTTTTGTAGCACCTCTGCTACTTTATTTTGGTCTATAGCTATCCATAGTCCCGAAACGACATGTCCCAGCGCTTTTAGTTCCTGAAAGGCAAAGTTTGACTTTTGTAGTGAAATAGTCATACCTAGTTTGATGATTTTCTCGAAAACAGTAGTAAGTCTTTGAAGATGCTCCTCCCATGTCTTCGAGAATACGATAATGTCGTCAATGTATATAATCATCCATCCTTCGCTAAGTTCTTCAGCAAACACAGAGTCCATCATTCGCTGGAAATGTGCGGGCGCGCCTTTGATTCCAAACGGCATTTCCAGGTACTCGTGTATCCCTTTGTGTGTGATAATGCGCAGGAATTTTCTGCTAAACTCTTCCACTTCATTTTGGTGGAATCCCTTCATCATATCCATCGTGGTGATGTATAGTGCCGCACCTAGATTTGTTAGGCAATGGGTAATTCTCGGCATGGGGTACCTGTCCGGAGTGGTGAACGTATTTAGTGCCCTAAAATCTCCGCACATGCAAGATTTGCCGTTATGCCATGCTATGATGACCGGTGGTGTGACATCGACTTCCTCATCTGCTCCCACTTTGCGTAGGATACCGTATCTAGTCAGCTCATCAATGTGCTTTTCTATTTCATCCCTGCTACGCGGGCTCGCCGGGTACGCTTGCTTTTTGAGGATTGGTGGGTACGGTTTTTGTATAGTCAATTTGATTTTCAGCTGATGACCTATGGCTGTGCCTATTGGTGTGTCTCCAAAGGCAAAAGCTTTGCGGTATTTAGATATCACCGCTTTTAGCGAATGTGCTTCGGAAGATTTGAGTCTGGGTGAAATGTTACATTCCCCAAATGCCTTCTCGAAGGATCTGTCTTCGGTCTGCGTGATGTTCTCCACGTTTTGGATTTGACTGGGACCCAGCAGGAACTTCTTTTTCTTGTTCTCATTTCCTATGGTAAAGTATTTTTCCTTGCTATGTACTATGTCTATTCCGTACAAGCGCAGATACTCTCCTCCTAATATAAAATAGTTTGAGGTTGCGTTATCCATGATGACGAATTCTGGTCTGATCCTTATTGAACCAAGCCTATGTGGAAAAACTATAGGCAATTCAATGACGCCTACTGCTTTCAAAGAGCTGCTACATCCTCAAAAGGTCATGTTGCTGGGAGGTAGCATCTCGTCTCTCCAATCTGGGTAGCATCTGTCAAGATATTTGGTTCCTACAACTGAGCATGCTGCTCCGCTGTCTAGCAATATATCTATTTTATCTCTGTTTTTGATAAGCGCTGATGTAATACAGTGCTGTCCTATTGTGTGAGCTCTTCCTTTCTCTGGTTGACTCATCATGAGCCTTGCATCCAATACTTGGTTTGATGCGTCCTTGTTCTCTTCCCATATCTGGGGTACTGACGCTTTTGACTGTAGCTCTGCGATATCCATTTCTTCGTTGGGTTCCATGGTTATCGTAGATACTTCTTGCCCCTGTGGAAGCATCTCTGACTCGTCTGTCTGCTTATTCACAAATGGAAATTTGAAGGTTCTGAACCTCGTTCTTACTTCGCAGAACCTCTCTGTTCCGAGGTAAATCATGAACTTAAATTCGTTCAAGTCTCGGCATCCCAGAGTGGGGTATTTCCTTTCGTTGTCATTCACAATGACGAATTCTGACGTTAAAAAGACTGGCTTTGTGACGTGTTCTAATTTAATAGGTAGGGTGATTCTACCTCTAATGCCTCTAGCTGCTTCTGCTTCGTTGGCTGATGTCATGTCCATTTCCCATCAAGGGCAGTAGATTCGCAAGTGTGATAGCGGCATGATTGATTGTATGTTGTTCGTATCTAGGACTAGTGAGTCCAGGATGCCGTTAATCGATATGGAGAGTGTTAAACTTGGGTTTATCGTTCCCATTTCAAGTCTTTTGATAAAAGGGGGATAGTTGCTCTCTACGTGTGCAAATTCTGCTATGTGTAGATTGTGTGCGAGTTCCTCCAGCGATAGGCTATCACCTTCTATTACACTTCCTGTAGAATCTGTATTGTAGTCTTCGTCTGCCTGACCGTTCCCCTGCACTTGGTTGGTCATCTCGATGTTACCTATACATATGTCCTGTTCATTGTCTGTCGTTTCCGACCCAGCTTCTGACTGGTCTTCGTCCTCGATTCTGGTCTCAACATCGGTCTCTCTATCGTCTAGTTCGACAGTGTTAACCGCTTTCTTCTCGAATCGTGGTTTTTGATCACTATCCTTCTTAAAGAAGGGTTTATCCCTAGGCTTATGGTTCGTGCCGGGAGTCCTGTCTCTATAGTCTCTAGAGCTCTGTTCTTTGCGATCATCCTTCTGCTTGTAGTCAGAGGTTGCTATCGCCTCATTAGTAAAACGCTTTGAATAACTTGTTTTATGCTTACCGATGGATGTGTGGGTGACTACCTCCTCAAAAATGGCCATAAACATCTTGTAGTTTGAATGGTCTTTGATTCTTGATTGAACCGCATGCTCTATATCGCCGTGGCATAGACTCAGAATCTTATCAATCTGATCTGAGGTCGTCAGAAACGGCCATGCTGCGACCATTCGCCTCCTCTGCAGTAGGAGCCATGCGAGAGGTTTCTCTCGGTGTTCTGCTCTGAAGGTATCCCTGTCAAAGGCTGTGGACATTTTCCTCTTCCATACTGGGGTACCGTATGTGTCTTTTATCAATTCTTTCCACCTCGCCCAGCTGCTTGGTCCTTCAGTCGTTTGTTTACTCGTGTACCATGCTCTCGCCGAGTGAGTCATGATGATGGCTAACTTGCAGGTGATTGACAAATATGGCATGCCAGTATCTTGCTGGGTGTTATCTATCCATTCGATCCATTCTAAATGGTTATATTCGCCTTCCCCGCTAAATTTAGGCCAGTCCCTCACAGGCGGATAATCCTTTTGTAATTGTTTAACCAAGGCTTGTCCCACCGACTCGTTGGATCTTCTATCGTCTACGGTCGACTTTGGATTGTCCATTGCTGTGCGTGTTGATGCGTTAATATGGAGTTCTCTAAACATCGGCTGTTGCATCGCTGGGAATTCGTGAGCAAATGGATTATTGCTCAGTATTTCTGGCTCGTTTGCTATTGGTATGTGGTCTCTATGTGAGTAGGTGCCGCTATGGTTCTGGTTGTGTGTACGCTCTGTCAATGATATCAGACGGTTTACATTTCGGTGTATGTTTTCTGTTCTCTGAGCTGCTGAATCTAGCTTTTCTCCTAACACACACATCAATTCGCCCAGGTGCTTGAGGTGTACTTCGCTGTGTTCCTTGTGCGAGTGTAGTAGAAGTTGCATATTGCTTTCCATGTTCGTCTGGTGGTCATCTAGTACTATCGCGATTGCACTGATGTCTATATTATTGTTTGTGTGGAGGATACTGTGCCTAATCTCTTCAAAGTTCATATTCATCTCCTCATTTAGGAGTTCTACGCTATTGTCCCACTTTGAATTCAGTGCTTTTATGGTTTCTTCCAGCTTATTCTCTATATGAGATTGCACGGTTTTCAACGTTTTGTGTATCCTGAATTCCTTGTCTGGAACGGATATATGTGACTTTGGGGAATTTGTCTCACTGTGTATTTTTAATGCTGAGAACTTATTGTTAAGACTAAACTCTTTGTCCGGGGACAGAGGACTCATTTTGTGTGGCATAGTATTGACTGGTCCGGCTAAAAGGAATGGTGAAATCCTGTTTTCCGTTTCACGGAGTATTTCTTCAATGCTCTTTGTCTTCATTACTGAGTTATCGGTCTCAGGAAGATCTTCTTTTATTCTTTTATGTCTTAACTCCTCTTTCTCAACTAACGAAACGGTTCTTCCGGCGCTGTGAGAGTCTTGCCTTTTGGTAGGTCCTTCGACCTTACTGTCCGTGATAGGAAGGAGGGAGTTAACACTTTTCTTAGTGCTTAGATGTTCTGAGGTCTCCTGGATCTTACTATTCTCAGGCATGGGTACAGAGGTTTCAATCCTTTTAGTCTCTGGATTTTCTTGAGAGATCCTCTCCAAGTTTTTGTTTTTGAGCGCTCTCTCAATTTTGTCATTCTCTGTCATAGGAGTAGAAATTGTCTCGAGGGCATGGACTTTAGGAGACACAACTTGTCTAAAAGGAATGGGAGTAACATCATTTTGTACTAAAGGTGAGGTAGTGGGGTGAACAACTTTTTGAACTGGGACACTGGTTTCGCTCACAGGCGTAGGCATCATGACAGTAGAACGAAAAACATCATTATTATTTTCATAAGCCACGCGTCGTGAAAAGAGAAACGGACTGGGAGGAGAGATGAAGGTCTTTTCTACTGGTTGGACGGTCCCGGTTGGTTTTGGGTTGGAACTAAGGGAGACTTTCCTTTGCTCTTCTGGGATTTGTTGATCCCTTTGATCGCCCGGTAGTAGGCTCGGCTGAAGGACAGCATCGACTGCATGTTGGCCGATTCCTCCTCTACGTGAGCTGGTTTCTGATAGGGCTCTTTCTGAGCTTTTTAATGGTTCTTGCGGATTGGCCCTGCTGACGAGTTGGACTGCGCTGGTTCCGGCACGTGCTGCGATGCTGGTTGAGGGCTCGGATTCTTGCCTATGAAGCCATGGTTGGTTCTCGCTTTGAACTTGAGTTCTTCGGAGTACGGATTCCATCCCAAAGACCTCTTCAGGACTTCCTCCTCGCCCAGGAGCAGCGTCAAGCTGTCGTGACTGTTCTTCCACAAGCTGAGATAGATCGTGATTGCCCGGGTATTGTTCGGGTTCGTTTCTTGAGCTTTTCTCCAGTTGATGAAGTTTTTCTTGTGTAGGGACATTAGGAGTCTCTCCTCTTCCGACGTTATGGTCGGTGGTAGCTGATCTAATGCTTGATCTTCTTGCATTAGGTCGTGCTGAGGTGGGACCGACTGAGCTACATCTCCTGGAGGTTTCTGAGTATGAGGGTCGTCCGAGTTTCTCTTCAATAGCTCGGACTCGATCAGATTTTCTAGGAGGCATTCCGTTAAGCTTGTCAATTTATCTTTTCGGGAAAAAAGAAAAAAAAGAACGAGGAAACTAAAAGAATGGAAGGTAATGTACCAGGGTGATCTGTGGTACCAATCTTCTCCGACCCAGTAGTCGTTGTCTCGGTAATTGAGGTGGTGGTCGTATGAAGTATAGACTGATTAGGTAACGGCACGGTAGACGACGTTTTTAGCTGGATCTTCGGCAAGATTGTTAGGATTTGCTCTCGAACCTTTCCTACTGCTTGGTTTGGGGGCTGGTTCTTCTGCGCCTTTGGAGGTTGAATGACCTTCTCTGGTGTGTTCACTTCAAGGATGTTGTGTATTTGTCAATTACTACACTCTCTTTGGAATGGGTGGATGTAGGCTTACTTATGTTTCCTTTCAGCAATCTCAAGTTGTATGACTTTTTTATAAGTTTTCCGATTTGTAAGGAAAGATCTAAAAGATTGTGCTTCAAGGTGAGCAGTTCCTTTGATTGGGAAATTTTGAAAACGATTTTTGTTTTTCTAAGAAGAAGGAAATATGAAATGATCTGCTTTGAAAACTAAATGTTTTCTTTGAATTTTTGTTAGTTCTTGGGTCTACTAACACTCGATGAGGCCCCCAATTGTCAGGGTGGCACTTACTCTAGTAGTTAAATAGTTAATATTTAACTGAGGAACCTGACAAAGAATCCTATTGGATATGTAGGATGAATAATATCTATTATAAAGGTAGGAATTTCCTTTATATCAGTAACTTGTTTTGAAAGGGTACTAACCACGGTATACGTAAATATAAACGTGACAGAAAGTTCCACGGCCCACTGCTGGTTAACAGACGGAACTGGTCAGGTTCTGAGCCAAGGATATTTTCTCGAAGACGGGATCAACGAGTAGCCTGGGTTTTGAAGCCTCAGGGATCTTATCAACTTTACGTTGTAAGAACAATGGCACTTGACCAAGATGGAGTTTTACTGTCTTGAAACAGGGACAGTAAAAGAAAAGAGGAAAAAGGAATAGGTAGTGAACCTGGTCTTTTACTTACAGTTTAGGTAAGATCAAATGACTCTTTATACTTTGCGTTTGTAGTAACTGGGCTTTTGTAGTGAGTGGAGATATACTTTTAGGAAGTATAACTGGACTGCGAAAAAGCTTATAGTTGCTTCTGGTCGTCGTAGATGAGTGTCCCCTTTTTGAACTCGGGAGACCATCTCTCTTTATATGCTTTTTCAAGGTGGCTGGCTGACTTGTGGTTCTCAGTCGTTGTTATTGATAGTTCCCAAAGGGGAGACTCTTCTGGCTAACTTGTGGTTTGGCCAGATTGGGAACTCAGTGAATCCTTGCTTGGTCAACTCGTGGTTGAGCTCAAACCTGAAATGCTAGATTCATTTCGTTTTGTCCTTCGGGTTGCGTTACTGTGTTCTGATCCTCAAGCCGGCCTCGTATGGTGTCTTCTTAGTGGGTTCTTTTTAGTTTTACCTCTAGGAATGTTAATCTTGGTTTCTCAGGATTGTTCCTCTTGGAACTAGACACGAGGTGTCTTGTGAGGATTTTTGTTGTTACCTTTGACTTAGGTACTCATAGTTTTGTTTTCAAGTATTTGTTGTCTTTGAAACTAGACACACAATGTAGTATGATGAAGGGAGAAATATATATATTTTAATTTTATTTATTTATTAGTTTTTATTTAAGTTGTAGTCTCTTTGGCTTCAGCTAGCCGGAGCTCGGAGGCTGACAAGTATTTAGTTTTTTCACCTATTGACATAGTCTGTATTTCCTTATATGTAACTTTCTGGTTTTATGAGTCTCAACTTTGTCTGGTTTGTCTTTTTGTCAATGTCTTAATGTTTATGGCCATTTATCTCAACTGCCACATACATTCCTGTGTCCAGTGCACTGCGCCGCTGCACTATTATCATTGCAGAGGATAAAGCAGGATAAAGCCTTGTGAGTAGACTGCGCAACTTACACACCGCAGGAACGCACCAGAGGATCATTTTGCAGCGCATCACAGTTTTGTGCAAAACTGTACTTCACTACGGGACGTTGCGGGTTGGATCCAACAAGCTTTCAAGAAACAACGGATTCCAAAACACGGCCAAAGGAACAGAAAACATACAAAGCCAACATGAACACAACTAGCAAATCTTCAGATCAAGTACAAGTCCATTAAGGAGATGTAGACTGTTTAGGAGCCAATACTTGACATTCTAATGAACCAGCATATTCAATCCAATCAACTTAAACACGTCGCAGGCATTCGGAGCACTTTGCGAGTAAACTCAACCCTTGCCCGGTTTGTTATTGTAGTTAACACCTTTAAACACAACTCCTGACCTCGATTTCCTGAGGAAAAAATATGCCATTAGCCACCATTCAAAGTGCAAACATATATCGGACGATCAACAAACAATTTCGAGGTTCCTTCATTAACAATGACGTCACGGGTTTGATGGTGATGCGAGCTATGTCAAATTAACAGTTTAACACATTGATTAATGTTGTGGAGAGCAAGGTTTAACGGTTCTTCAGGGTGCGGATGTGGATGGTGGTATTACCTGGCTTCTTCGGGTATGCTACGAGCTTCTACTCCCTTCGTATCGCTGTAGGAGCCACCACTAATTTCCAAATCAGAGATAAGTAAGCAATGTAACTCTACTACTCTAGGAAGGGTAAATACCGCGATGATCTCACCTCGAATGGGGCGTCGCTATGCCAGAAGCTGCGATAGATATGAAAAGACAAATTGAGAAAAACTGTGCTAATAGATAATGCTCTGGGGAAGATGAGATTACTCACCTGCACTCCCAATGAGAAAGGCAAGGACAACACTGATGCGCATATTGTTTAGATGTGAAATGGGATGGACGATTCGGAAGGACTCAGATGGTCTCAGAGAGATTGTAAGTTATCGATTGCAATGAGATCAGTTGAGGGGAGAAAGCAAAAGTGCTCAAAGAGAAGTCGCTCATTTATATGTTCGACTTGGGAGACCGCTATGTTCATAATCACGTCAAGTTGTCGGTTCGAGGAGCTACATATGAATAAATACATAAAATCGAACTTGAGCCGGCTTGAGCCTCTCACGCTGAAACACACCCACGCGATGTCTTTTGGGCCCGGCTGTCAACCAATGTGACACGCATGAGCCAAGCGTGGAACATGTCCAACAGCTCGCTCACGCTTTGGCAGGCCTCTGACACAAGCCGAGGTCGGTGGCCAAAGCAGTTCAGATGCCATGTGAGTGGCATCGGTCTCATCGATCGGTCTCATCGAGACCGATGCGTTGACCCGCTTCGTTGTTGTAATGATTTGTAATATTGTAAAGAAATATTCAAATCTACTAGGAGATATTATCAAATGTAAAAGAGATGGAATGATTGGAAATGGTTGTTATAGCGAATATGGTTGTTAGGATAAAATGTTACAAACTGTTTATGTATATATATGTTGTTAGTTTACAATTGTTTTATTCTTTTCTTATCGAATTATTAAAGTAGCTTTATAACTCTTAAAAACTAGAACAAAACTCGTGATAAGAGCAATGCTCCACGAGACCCTAGACAAGAGCCCTTACAGTATAATTCAATCATTACAAATAATTTTTAGCTATTTTTTGCGTGTTATTTTCTTTTTTTTCATAATTTTTCTTACTCTTTTCTCGGGTTTATTTTTCTTATATTCAGATATATCAATTAGAGAGTTAGTTATATTCTTTTATCTGTTAATCATCTTATCCTGTTTATATGTGTCTCCGTGGAGGATTTTCCGTATATACTTGTTATTACTTTTAGATATAGGGTATCCCCTTTTCGTTTGGACTTGTTATTACGTCATTATATTATATATGTGTATAGAATGGTTATTTTGTTTGTTTATATTTTTTGTTTCTTTATCTTTCTGTCATATCGACTTATCTCTTCAAAGAAATTGGTGTTCTTCTCAACTTACCTCTCAAATCTTAAAAATTCTTCAACATCTATTTCAATACTCGTCAATTTTTCTTTTAACACTTTTAATCATGTCTGCTTCTGATGCATCGCCACAGTCTCAAGCTTATCAGCTTTCTTCAACTGAACAACAATTCGTTAATCGTTATCTGGAACCACGTTTGGATGCTTTTAATAAGTCGGTTACGAAGGTCTTTGATGAACGAAATGCAAGTGCTTCAGATGCGGTGGTAACTTTAGTTAATGATGCTATCATTAGAGCAAAAAATGATGTGATGATGGCTTTACGTGCGGAGTTCAGTAATAAAATTTCTGTTGATCACTTTGATGCGAAACTTAAAGAAGGTTTGGATTCGACTTTTGCCACGGTGAAACGTGATGTTCTCAATGTTTTGGACGAAGAATTAATCTCTGTCAGGCATTCTTCGACTTTAGTTCGGTCTGCGGAACCTCCTGCTTTACCGGATCTCGTTTTTAGTGGAGATGCTCGAAAGGTTCCAGGTTTTATCACTACAATTCGAGATACTCTCTTTTCATCTTCTTCTTGTTTTGCGAATGAGGATCAAAAAATCACCTGGGTGGCTCGTCATTTTCCATTAGCTTCGGCTCCTCATGATTGGTGGTTAAGTTTGCTAAGACAGAATGATCGCGAAAATGGTATTTCGGACTCATCAGCATTTTTGGTCACACCAACTCCTTTCACGATAGAACCTCTTACCTCTTTAGCTTCGTTTTTCAAAGAATTTTTAGATAAGTTTGGCAATAAGTTTGCTGAAGAAAGGTTGTTTTTGGATCTTCAAAATTTCAAGCAAGGAAAACTCCCTGTTGGACAATTTATTTCTCGATTTAATTCTATGGCTTTCCAGCTTCAACTTTCCAATGTGGTGTTAAAAAATTTATTTACTGGAGGTCTTCGTCCAGATGTTAAGGATCGAGCGCTTAAACATCCTGATTGGTTTAAGTGTAAGACTGTGGAGGAAAGGCAAGCGGTGGCAAAAATGGCTTCAGAACAAATAATGCATGTGGTTGCGAATAGTTCATCTTTGCCAGTTCAACGTTCCTTTTCATCTCCGCCTATTGTCCCGATTCCCCGTGATCCAAACGCTATGGAAGTCGACGTTAACGCTATCAATGCTCGCCCAACTTTTCCGCCCTTGCCGAATGGAATTTCGTTTCAATTTTTTGTCAAATTCTGTCATGCACGAAAGATGTGCCATAAATGTTTAAAGCTGTATGACTCTACTCATCGAACTCCGGATGGTAAGAGTTTGTGTCCTAACGCTCCTCCGAAGACGACTCAAGAAATCGAAACTTTTATGAACTTTCATCAATCTCGAGGACCTTCTTCAGTTTCAGCTGTGTCAGATTTACCTCAACATATGCAACGTGCAAATAATCATCGTCAACCTCATGTTTCAGCTCCTCCTAGATCTTTTCAAGATGTGTCTGCTGGCTTTGCTCAAGTCCCGGTTCAGCCTTATCAGCTACCACCTCATATGTACAATTTATCTCCGACTCAATACACTTTGCCCTCAGTACAAGGTCCAGTGCCTCTCCAACATCCTGGGTTTCCGCAAGCGATGGGTGTTCCAGCAGCGGTAGCAACTCAAGATCCGGTTCAGCAAGTAGCGGCCTTGTTCTCAGAATATCAAAATATCAATCAATCGACTTATTATGACAACTTACAAACTGACTCACTTGATGCTCGTCCTATGTTCGATCCGACGGGTGATGGTATTTCGGACGAACCAACTATTTCGTCTATTTCAGCTATTCATTTCAAGAACTCATCCACGATGGATCATCGTCTTATTTTATCAGTTGATCTTATTGTTAACGGTGTGGTTTTTCCGGCCAAAGCTTTGGTGGACTCGGGAGCTTCTGGCAGTTTTGTGGACAAAGCTTTTGTTCGAAAACATGATCTTTCTCTTTCGCTTCGACCTTTTCCTTTGAAGTGTGTTACTTTTGACGGTTCTGAAGGAAAGGATGGTTTGGTGACGCATTCTTGGAAAGGCGTTTTGTCAATTTCGGATGTCACAGGTTCTTTATTTAAATCATCAATTTCATTAGACGTTACTAGTTTAAGTGGTTATGATCTAATCTTGGGGATGGACTGGTTGCGTTCTCATGACGGTTGGGTTGGGGGTTGTGGTCCCTCTTTACGTTTGGAATCACCGATTAATCACAGTTTTTCTAAGATAACTGGTGAATATTCGTCTTTTGCATCATTATCAAATCTATCTTCTTCAGCATTTTCATCCTCTCTCATCACTCCCTCTTTATCTTCTTCAATATTGTCATCTTCTCTCATCACTCCCTCTTCAATCTCTTGGGAAAAATCAATTCCTTTGGAGTTTAGAAGGTTTGCTGATGTGTTTAATTCGCAGGGTCCTACAACTTTACCTCCTCATCGACCAGCTTTTGATATGGAAATTCGATTAAAGGAGGGCGCTGTGCCAACTTATGGTGGTTCCTATTTACTTTTGAAGGATGAAGGAGGTGAATTGAAGGATTGGATCGATGCTCAATTAGCAAAAGGCAATATTCGACATTCCTCATCTCCGGCTGCTTCTCCAATTTTTTTCGTTAAGGTTCCTGGGAAGAAAAACCGACCTTGTGTAGATTATAGATCTTTAAATTCAATGACTATCCGTGACTCATTTCCTATTCCTTTGTTAGGAGATTTATTAACTAAGGTTTCTGGCTGTAGATATTTTACTAAATTAGATTTAAAATCCGCTTTCAATTTTATTCGTGTTAGGGAGGGGGATGAGTGGAAGACTGCTTTTAGAACCCCCTGGGGTTTGTTTGAATGTCTAGTAATGCCTTTTGGATTAGCCAATGGCCCTGCTTGTTTTCAACGTTTCATTCAATCTGTCTTATCTGAATTTTTAGGTATTTCATGCTTTGTGTATATTGATGATATTTTAATTTTTTCCAAGACTCGTCAAGAACACCAGATACATGTAGAGCAAGTTTTACTCAAATTGCAACAGAATGAATTACGTGTATCTCAGGACAAGTGTCTCTTTTATCAATCTGAAGTTACCTTTTTAGGTTTTGTTATCTCTAGCACTGGACTGAGAATGGACCCTAATAAGTTGAAAACCATTGCTGACTGGCCTTATCCCGTGAATTCGAAACAGCTTTACAGATTTTTAGGTTTTACCAATTTTTATCGTCGTTTTATTCATCAATTTTCAGCCATTTCTTCTCCACTTACAGCTTTGACTCAAAAGACTGCTGACGTAGTGACTGGTTTAGCAAATCCTGAGTGTTTTTATGCTTTCAAAAATCTTCTACATGCTTTTACGGTTGCTCCTCTTCTTTCCCATTTTGACTTTGAGAAACCCAGGTCATTACAAGTTGATTGTTCAGGTTTTGCAATGGCTGCAATACTCTCTCAGCCGGATAAGGATGGTAATCTTTTACCTGTATCTTTTTTTTCTCGTAAATTGACTCCAGCTGAAAGAAATTGGCAGGTACATGATCAGGAATTAGGCATTATTGTTGAAGCCTTTGAAGAATGGCGAGCCTGGTTAACTGGTACTCCTACTCCAGTAACCGTATTTTCTGATCACGCCAATCTTCGTTATTTCATGACCTCTCAAAAGTTAACTCCTAGGCAGGCGCATTGGGCTTCTTATCTCAGTTCTTTTCATTTTCAAATTCTTCATACTCCAGGAAAAATTAATCCTGCGGATCCATTATCAAGACGTCCTGATTACGAGGTTATATCCAATGAATCAAATAGGATGACTCTTTTGAAGCCATATATGGTAAAAGATGGTGTTTCAGTATGTTCTATTGATACCACTTTTATCATTCCTTCTGCTGCGACTCGACAACTTCTCATTGATTCATATAAGGAATATGACGATGTTGATGGATCTAAGCCTCCGCCTCCATTTTTTACTTTTCGAGGAGGTTTGTGGTGGTTCCGTGATCGGTTATTTGTTCCGCCAACACTTCGTCAGCAAATTCTTTCAGCCTTTCATGACTCTACTTCCATGGGGCACCCGGGCGTTGCACATATGTTGAGTGCAGTGACTAGGACCTTTGCTTGGAAAACTGTTCGTAAAGATATTATTGATTTTGTCCGAAGCTGCGATTCATGTCAGAGAACAAAACACTCTACTCAGAATCAAGTAGGAAGATTAATCCCGTCTGCGATACCGGATCGGCCTTGGAGCACGATAGGTATTGATTTTATTGTTAAGTTACCTATATCATCCGGTTGCGATTCCATTTTAGTAATCACAGACCATTTTTCAAAAGGTGCTCACTTCATCCCTTGTCGGGAATCAATGAGCGCTCCCCAATTAGCATCTCTTTTTATATCTCAATTTTTTCGATATCATGGGTTTCCTGATAAAATTGTTTCAGATCGAGGTTCGACTTTTGTTTTGGCCTTCTGGATTTCTGTTCAAAGACAGCTACGTATACATCCTGCTCCCTCTACTGCTTTCCACCCACAGACAAATGGACAAACAGAGAGGACGAATCAGGTTTTAGAGTCATATTTAAGACATTTTATTGGATATCGACAAGATGATTGGGTTGAACTATTACCCATGGCCGAGTTTTGTTTTAACAATTCAACTTCTTCCTCTACCAATCTTACTCCATTTTTTTCTTGGCAAGGTTTTCACCCTAGAGCCAATAGTTTCACCAAATTCTCAAGGGTTCCACATGCTGATAAATTTGTAGAACACTTAGAAGCAACTCAATTGAACCTTTTGTTATCTTTGAAGCATGCGAAGCAGGCTCAAGCAGATCAGTACAACAAACACCGTCGAGAAGCTCCAGTTTATTCGCCTGGGGAATTAGTCTGGTTGTCACGACAAAATATAACCACGGCTAGGCCTTCATCGAAATTAGATTATCGTCGTATTGGACCATTTCCTGTAGTACAAATGATTGGAAGAAATGTGGTTAAATTAAATTTGGGCAGTACCTATTCAATACTTCATCCCGTTTTTAATACCTCTCTCATCTCACCATATATATCTCCTTCTGTAGGAGGTCGTGTCACCCCGGAAAGACGTATAGAAGGACAAGTGGCACCTACTCATGATTGGAGGCATGTTTCAGCAGTTTTGGATTATCGAAAGAAAGGCAAAGCAGCTCCCGAATATTTGTTAAGGTGGTTAGGAAGGCCGATTTCAGATGATACTTGGGTTTCCTTAACAGACATCTCGTCTGATTTAGATTTATTTCTTTTAAATTTTCACGCCAAATATCCACAATTTCCATGTCCTTCAAAACTTTTAGATAATCGTTATGCGATGGGATATCAAGCAGCGTTGGGAAATCTTTAGGGTAGACGAAAATCATTATTGTAATGATTTGTAATATTGTAAAGAAATATTCAAATCTACTAGGAGATATTATCAAATGTAAAAGAGATGGAATGATTGGAAATGGTTGTTATAGCGAATATGGTTGTTAGGATAAAATGTTACAAACTGTTTATGGATATATATGTTGTTAGTTTACAATTGTTTTATTCTTTTCTTATCGAATTATTAAAGTAGCTTTATCACTCTTAAAAACTAGAACAAAACTCGTGATAAGAGCAATGCTCCACGAGACCCTAGACAAGAGCCCTTACAGTTGTGCCCTGTGTGATGGAGCCCGGTAACTGCTTTCAGTCCGCAGGCGTCCATCACTTAGACTACAATGCAACCAATTAGCGCTACACCAGGGGGTAAACTTCCTCGGCCTCGGATCGTTCTGGAAACGTGTCCAGGAATTTTGTTGCGAGAACCAAGACAAAGCAGTTCCGGTAACGAAATGAGGAGAACCGTGTGACAATCAGTTGTTTTCAACGGTTTTTGTGGGTTCAAGACGACCAAAAATCGTAGTCAAAGATGGCATGAAGGTTGGTCAAGACTCGGATGAGACAATACCTTGAACCAAGTGCAACCATCTGGTTGTGATGCGATGTGTTTGACCTCGTCAATCTTTGCTCGGCTGAGCTGTCAATCGATGGGTCCAGCACTCTTGCATACAGCTTACTTTTCGGTGACTGCTACGTGATGGAAGCGTTTTTGTTTCGAAAAACCTGGACACGTTCTGGACACGCTCCAAAACAATTAAAATGTCGTAGCGTGTCTGTAACGCTATCGATCCTACTTTTGGAACGTGTCACTTACCCCCTGGTGTACACAAATATGAAAACCGTACAAAAAACCTGCATGAAAAATCCGCATGAAACCGCATGGTTTTTTTAGGTTTCCCCGCAAAAATCAAAAAAACCATGCGGGTTTTCATGCGGTTTTCCATACGGTTTTCCCATACGGTTTTGATATTTGTGTACCGCTATTGCATTGTAGCTGTTTCATTCAAATTAATCCCTTCTGAGAGCATAAAAAGCCTCTCTTCCACATCTTTTCTGTGTATCTTTAGCTTGACTTTTACTTTCAACTTCTGCAATCTCAGAATTCTACAGAAAAAAAATACCTAGCCCAGACTTTGACATTTGATTGATTGATTGCTGTTGCCTCTCCCTGAATTTTACGCTCAATTGACCTCTGCGCCAGATTGCCACATTTTTCTCACTATCAGCAAAAATATAATAAAACGCTTTTTACAACAGTTCATTCAAACATCACTTCATTCTACTTCTAACAATTTTACGATCATCATCTGACCTGTGATCAAATAGCTTCAATGTCTAACTCAGTCAAAACCTACCGGGTCGCAGAATGTGAGTTGTTCCTGTCTCATCTTGCATTTAGACTGACTTATCAATATCTTGTGTAGTCTTCGAATGTGAAGAACTGGCCAACGGAGAGAAGCGATATACCTGCTTGCTTTGTGCAGGAAGACCCACAACGGACTATGAGGCCCACATGCAGCTTGAAAACCATTGTTATCTGGTGACTCAGCACATCAGAAACAAGATGACACACCTCAACTCCCAAAGGGGAATGCAAACACAGGTTTCAAATCATCCTGTCACTGACAATCCCTCTGTTCAAACAGGTCATCATGAGTTGGAGGGTTATGAGTATTCCAGTGACATGGATACAGATCTGGATCAAGAAAATGTGTTTCACGCACAATCCTCTCCATTTAATTTGGAAGCTTCCAATTACTCAAATTCAGAATCTTCTGGTATAATGTCTGATTTGTCAAACTCAAATTCAACTGTGGGAGCAGCATCATTAGATGATGATTCTGAGATGGATGAACTTGATGAGAACTTCTTACAAATACAGGCAGAAGTTGTAAACATGACAAAGCATGTGGACCCATGGTTTCCTGTGGGAAGGGATGAGGTAATGAATGACTCATTTGGTCAGTTTTCCCTCTTTAATACACAAATACTAAAGATACATGTATCTCTTTTTTCTGGATTCAAAAGAATGTAGCAGGACTGATTGCTTTGGGCAGCACACATACCCAGACTTCCAGAAAATCATATGATGGCTTCAAGCTAGCATCAAGAGTGATGCAAACCAATCTTCCATTCTGGAATACAATGTCTTCCCTGCGAAAGGTGCTTAGGTCAATGCTTGGCATAAGTGTTAAAGAGTTTGAATCACCCCTGGGTAAAACCTGCCACACCTTAGTTATTGAAGAGCAGCTGAGATTGGTGAGTTTATTTTAACTTATGTTTGCAGTTGAGGTGCCTACCTATAATACATATAACATAACACACATTGATATTTCTGGTCATCTACTATTCAGAACTTGGCCAACCCAATTGTGGCCAAACATCTCCAGTGTTATCCTGAGGTCCGCTCTGACAGGCTTGTAAAGGACTTTAAACATTGTGGGAAATGGCTTCATGGTCTTACAAGGGAATTTAGGGCCCCAATGGCAAAAACACCAGCTGGAGTTTTTTATATCTATGAGCCAGCACGGCTTAAGGATGGAAGTCTGGTAGTACCATCACATTTCTACCAATTGGATGGTGTGCTTCATGCAAAAATTTTGAAGGCAGAAATTAACATATTGGGTGACTCTACATATCAAGTTTTGATCCCAGAAGAGCCTGATTTTGGAATTCAAGATTCAATCAATTGTGATGAACTATTGCTGCCTTTCCCAAAGGTAAAGATAAGCAAGGCAGGTGGAAGTCTTATCAACCATTGTAGGGGATTGATATTTCAAAAATCTTCTTCTTCAGAATTACTGGAAGCAATACCTTCACCAAATCCCTGGAGAAAGAGGGCAAATGGCCGTGTCATCCGCCACATGCCACTTACTCTATATTGTGATGATACTTCAGGAAATATCAGCAAAAGATGGAATAAACACATGTCCTTTTATTTCAATCTTTTGGGCCTTCCTGCCAGATTAGTTCATCTGGACTTCAATACTTTGTTCTTGGCTACTACCAATGAGGGTACAGCATTAGAATTGGCTGATGACCTGGTGGATCAGCTGAAGTGGGTTTTTTTTCTGTTTTCACACTGATTCTCAGTACCTGACATTTTTCTCTGTTCAAAGTGTCCTGAGCTCTGAAGGCTGTGTTGCCTATGATTCTGAAACACAAGAGGAAGTATTGATTATGGCAATTCCGCTTTGTATTCTTGGCGACTCGCCTATGCATGCTGAGGTGTCAAATACACGTCAACCAGCCTCATCATTGGCTCCTTGCAGGATATGTACCTTGTCGGCTCCAAGCATGAATGCAAAATGTAGTCATCAGTATGTGGAAGATTTTATGGGGCTGGATCAAGAAGGAAACCCAAAGCATTTTGAACCAAGATCATGGAGTGATACAGCCAATAAAAGTCGAGTACTGTGGCAGGAATCAAGGTTTCCAAATTCAATTCAAAAGGTGGAAAATCTGGCAAAACTTTGGGGAATTAAGAATCACACAAATCAGAATTTCATTGATGATGTTTGCAAATGCCATCGTGAATACCCAAATACCAACAAGCCAATTCAAATGGCTGAAGATTATGAAAATAGATACAAGGATAGGTTATTCAATCCCTTTCTACGCTTAAATGGATTTGATGGACATATGGACACACCTGTGGAGGCCTTGCATGTTATCCTTTTGGGGGTAACAAAGTATTTATATAGAGATTGTGTAAGCCGCCTATCAGAAATTCAGAAAGAAGATTTGAAGCGCAAGTGGAAGAGTTTGAATTCATCAGCTTTAGGACGGGAAGCAATACAACCCGATTGCATGGTTACATATGCAAAAAGTTTAAATGGAAAAGAGTTCAAAATTGTCTTGCAAGCAGCAACATTTGTTCTGGGTGAATACCTGTCTCCATTGTATAGGCAAGTATGGCTTGACTTGGGTCATGTTGCATCAATGGTTTTTCAGCCCGAAATCAGAGACCTGGACTCATTTTGTAATGAAATAGACCACCTGATTGACCGTTTCCTAGTTGGAGTTGTGCGCCTCTCAGCCCAATGGTTCAACAAACCCAAGTTCCATATCATGAAACACTTTACTATGTCCATCAGGCAATTTGGACCCCCATCACTTTTTGCAACTGAATCTTTTGAAAGAATGAATGGTGTTGTTCGGAAGTTTTCAATTCATTCAAATTGACAAAATCCAGGAAGAGATATTGCTATTTCCGCAAACAACTTCAATGTACTTCGGCATCTTTCTTCAGGTGGGTTGATAAAACATCCAACCAATGGCTTTTGGACCAAACCTGGAGACAGGGTCGTAGAGATCCTGGTGAATGATGAGTCTATCTCTGAAGCGCTTGGTTACAACAAGGATGTCTTTCGAAGCAATTACCAAGAGGTCCCTTATTGTCAACCAGTTCCTCCAAGAATTGTCTCCACACGTGCATCTTTCAAAATCTGTGATGATAGATTACCTTGGACACCTTCCAGAAGTGCCAAATTACCAAATCAACAAACTGCAAAAGAAGGGTCTTTTATATTACTCAAGGTCTCTATTCCTCAATCTCCTGATACATATGATAAACAAGTAGGCTTGGTGAAGGGTATTTGGAGGACTCCAGACTCAAGATTAGATGAAAGTGTTGTGCTAGAGCTAGAAATGGCTAGGTTATCCAATCACCACCCATTCTATTGTATGAGGGCTGTAATACTTACTGGCCAAAAAGTGTGTGCCTATCCATGGGTAAGCCATTGAATCACTCAAGCCAGGAATATTGATATTTGACTCATCATTCTTTTTAACTCAGGAAATTATATGCATGCTCAATGTACAGCACAACTGCTATGACTCAAGATGCGAGATCAAGCCATCAGTCAAGTATCCTAATGAACCACGCCCACTCAAAAATCTTGAGCCAGTTTGGGTTCATGAACAAAACCCTTATTACATCCTAAATACTGCTTCACTGATTTCAGCATCTCTTTACAGAGAGTTAGGCCTGATACAGATCATCCCATATACACCTTCAGAAAGGATAGATGCCATCACTATGGGCATACACCAGTGGGCAGATAAAAAAAAGCAGACCAAGTTGGCCAAAGAAGCCAAGGCAGCCATAGAAAAACAACAAGGGACCAAGGCAAACCACAAGGGCAAAGGGAGGGCAAGGAAATAACAATACTCAATAATTTGAATGTAAACCACATATTTCTTTGGGAGATGATCCATATTTTAGTATGTCCTTGATCTGATAATGCTTTTATCAGACTTTAAATATTCTGTTGACAGTTGTCTTGGTTAAATCCACATCTTTACCATTTGTATCATTCATTTTTGATAAAAAATGTTATCTTCTTGGACATTTCAGGCCTTTATTGTTCTGTTAGATTGTGAATCTGTTTCCAGATTGTTTCAATTAGGAATATCATATTGTTTGTATTGTTATCATCTTTCCTTTTTGTTCAACAAAATGATGATGAATGAAAGATGATTCTCTAAAAGCATGTTGACTGTCTTTATTGGACTTGTCAAAATCTTTGTTAAATTTGAAAAAAGTCTGAAACCCCGGCACAGAACCCCAATTTGGGCCGGGTCAAGTTCCACAAACATGGAGCTTGCTCACTTGAAATTGCCTTGCCCTCCTCTGAATTTCTCCTCTGCGCTGTCTGGACTTGATCAAGATCAAATCACCAATCCCTTCACATTTCTTGGTGTCGTTTTATTCTTGTTTTTTCAGTCTTGTTTCATTCTTGCCAAAATGAATCCAACATCAGGCCAATCAAACCCTCATCAAACCACATTTCCACCTAATCACTATCATGTACCAGCGGGCCATCCTCAAGTCACACCCTACCATCAAGCAGTCAATTGACTTTATGACACCATGCCTGCTCAACATCATTACTTTCCTCCAGACACCCCCTACCATCCAGCAGTTCATCAACGGTACAAAACCACTCCCACCGCAGCACCACCAAATCTATATCCTGTACCAATTGGGCAACCTCAACACACACCCAACCCCAATCACTTGTTTCACAGTGATCCTCCACCTTTAAATCTTACAGTTTCACCTTCACATCACAATCTCTCGCTATACCAATAATCACACCCTAACCCATCTCCCCCACATCTTAATTCCACAAGCTCTGAGGTGGTCCAGAAGAAAAAGCTCTGTCCATCTTTTTCCAAGCCCCAACCACGACCAAAGTCAAAGTATGCTAATCGCCGTAATGAAAATCTATCACCTCCACCCTCATCAACTAGCTACAACCTTCTGCAAAACTATCAGCACAATTCAAGCTCATCTAAACAAGCACGCCATACGCTTCTAACTGACAAAGACTCCAATTTAAATTACAACAGCGAGGGTGAGGATGATGATGGGAATGAAGGCAAACAAAACAACTATGAATTTCCTGATGACCACTCGGAGGATCCCTTTGCTAAAGATGACGATGACGCATCATCTGAAGATCTTCCGCTAGAGGACTCGTTCAACCAACGTAGCAGGCAGGACACCCCTAGTACTGCCTCCAAAACTCCTGGGATGCTCAATGCAACTGACTTTGCTATGTTTCAACAAATTACGTCCCAGTTTGCTATCCACATAGAAGATATTACCCGCGTGCGACATGTATTTGAGGCAAGTTTTTTCCTTCATCATCAACGAGCAAAGCTTTGTGTGACTTATCTGTCAAAACCTTAGGAACCCAAAGCACATAGACGAGACCTTGCCGTGGTATGTATGGTAGCTGAGATGATAGGTCATGTCCGTGATCTAAAGGCCCTTGTACAATCTGGTCCTTCTACTGGGAGCCAGAAGACTACAATGCCTGTCACAATTGGTCATGATGAGTGGAAGGATAGTGAAAAACTACGAGTAAGTACCCAGTTAGGAGTTCATATATCACACATACTATGTAAACTCACTTGATCTCCGGCTTTCTCCGCCTCTCTGCTTACATCGACAGAACATGATAAGAACCCGCATCCAGAAATACATCGGTCAATCAAAGACCGAATCATATAACGGTAATTTAACTAAAAAAGCTCAGCCAGTCGAGTTCTCACTTGAGAACCGGGTGATGGTAAGTCCCAATTCACTGAATCTTGTGTGATTCGACACTGACAGTGTTCTGTCTATCTATTCTCCCAAGAACTACCTTCGTAAACATGCAAACGACGAATTCAACCTTGCTCACCTCCCTCCGGACTTCTGCAAAGGCGATGTCAAGTCCATCCAGCTTACTCTCAAGGTCATCAAAAAGATAGCCACCTATCAACGCAGTGTGTTTCAGGAGAAGGTCAGCCAAGGCCAAATACAATCTCAATTGCATCATGCTAATGATGCATCATCCATCAGATCCTCACCAACCTATTGATGAAGAATAGGACTCGATCTGGCGCAGTTCCGAGTCTCAAGGGGCTAATCAGCATGGTATGTTATCATTCCATGCAACTGTAATGATTCAGTCAACTTACCTCAAAAGCCATTAGATTGTCCGTAGCCGAAACCCTGACATCGATTATTGCACAGACGATCAGATCTATGCCAAAACTTCATTAGAGGACAAACGTCGTTATGTGTTGATTGTAAGTCAGTTTGAACCTTTCCTTTTACATTTTCTGACATTTCATTTTTGTCATCAAGCGTATGATTGGTATCCAGTATCTCCGCACCCCCACCATCGCGATCGATGGCCAAAAACAACATCGGCCAAAGTCGATGTGGGTTTGGGTTGATAGACAGTCGGTGGCGTTGTCAAAATACCCCAAAGAAGGGTGTGCTCGGTAAGTGACTTGCTCCTGTCCCAGTGCACAGTACACATGAGCTGATGCAATCTCGATCAAATCCTTTGTAGGTTTTATGAAATCCTCATGGATCTTGATAAAGAATTCGACGGGTTGCGCAGTTTATCCACCATCGAAGAGCAGACAGGGCGCGAACTCCAACTACCTCGACATATGACGTACGCGCTCCCCGATGTGAAAGATCAACAACCAGTAGTAACAAGAGACGATTTAGTAGAAGAAGAAGAAGAAGATTTAAGGAAGAAGAAGATTTAGAGGACGATGATGATGTAGAGGAAGATGATGGTGTAGAGGAACAATCCAATCATCAACAATAGAAACACTTTATAAAAATATTCTTCACTCGATTCCAATAAAAAGGAACCAATCCCACATTCATATACATTCATATACCTTCATATACATTCATTTAGGAGCAGATTTCTTTTATACAAGTCTCAATTCTTTCCTTTTTGTTAATTTTCTTTTCATATACATTCATTTAGATTCAGATGTCTTTTATACGTGTCTCGACTGTTTTCTTTTTGTTAATTTTCTTTGTTTTCTTTTGTTTCGAGTGTTCTCACTTTCATTTTTCATGATCCCATCAACAACCATCACAAAACTGATGCTCGCTCACTACGCAATCAACCACTGGGCAAATGACCCTAGTCTCTTTCATAGAAGTCTTGAGTCTTTTTTGTTATGGTTTTTTTTCGATGTTTACGCTTCTGATGATCCCAAAAGAACTCTTAAACTCTCGCTTGGTCACTACATGTGTAATTCACCAGAATTGCCACTGGTCAAATGACCATTTGCTTCAAATCGAGAATGCCAAACGGTTCGCACTGGGCTACTGGAGGTTGTACTGGGCTGTGGTTCCTCACCCACCCAGAACGTATTGAATGCATTTCTGCCATTCAATCAGCTTTCTCACCGTCGTGCGGAACCTAAAGCAAGGATATCGCACCGATGTCCTTGCTCTCATCCGCGCGACCTCCTCTGTGAGGATAATCAACCGAGATCGGGGGGATCTCCGTTGGATGTCGTGTCTCGCAACATCCAACGGAGATCCTGATTGGACCGTAGTGTAGTAACTACACCATGGAACTACGATGGACGAGAGAGGAGGGTGGAGGACAAACCTCAAAACCCAAAACACAAACCTGTATCGCCCTGTACAGATACTCGATTTTCGAGTAGCTCTGATCAAACCTCACCAGAGCTGCCTAGAAACAATCCAGACGATGCCAGAGACGATTCCAGCTAACTCCCAATTGAAAATGCTGTCGAATCATCACATCAAATTGAAAAGTAAGTTTTTAGATCATCTGAAACAAGTTAGAATCGCGATGATAAGTTGACCACTTCACACCAAAGGGACAGCGTGTGAAGTAACTTCCATAGAGAGCTTAGAGGGTAAGGGAGACTTAGGTGCACATGTAACTTTACACACACAATGGAAGTGTGTGGGAAAGATACAGGAAAGAAGAGGGAAAAATTTCCGCGCTCCAAATGTTCTTACCCTTCTGTTGCACATAGTCAAATAGAGCAATCAAGCCCTGCTATCTCTCTCTCTCTATCTCCTATCAGTCTCCTTATAGAAAATTTAGCCCCCACCCACCATCCCAGTAGGCTAGGACACAGCTCTCCGGTTACTTCTCAGGCACTTTACGTAGTGTCGAGCAAGGAGTAGACCGGGTTTAGACCACTCAGGGCTTCTTACGTAGGCCCCGAGGGTCCCCGGTACGTCTCCCAGCTCGGCACCCCCCCACATTATTCTCAACTTAGGATAGCCTAAGTTAAGGATAGCATAAGGCTGAGAAATTAAAGAAAGTTGCATTCTTAGTTAAGATATGTAATTACAAGCTAGGAAGCCTAAACTAAGATTATGAGAATGAGAGATCGCATACCTATGACTTACCCCTAGAGTAGAAATGGAATTATGGTTTCTTTTGGCCTTTTTATCAAACAAAAAGATTTGCTTCCCTTCAGGTTTAACTTTTTTAGATAAAGACTCTGGTACAAAGAAGGCTTGATTCTCATTGTGTAAGGACTTCTTGTTTTTACACAATATATTTAGCATGTGATAAATGTTCAGTTTCTTCCTTGTGCAATGATACTGAATAGGAAAATCTCAAGGTTTGAATTCAATACGAGAGTTGAAAATTCAACATTGATGTCTAAACAAAGATCAGAAAAAGACCCAAAAGCAGAAATCCAACCCGAGACCATTTGCATTCGAAGTAGTGAATTGAAATTGAAAGCTTGTGGAATGATGCAAACAAAAAAAAGGGTCTGTGGGTCCAAATGTACTAATTTTATGCCTTGCTCTCCTAATCTGGTCAAAAGACAAAACTTTTAATGTTTTCAATTATAAACTCACCTCGATTAAACTTGTACTTGATTCCTGGATGTTTGTTGGTTTTTTGAAAAAGTTGTTGAGTGAGATGTGGTTTGGAATTTCCAATGTATGATTTATTCCTTCATTTTTAGCTGGCATGAGATCTTATGTCAAAATTCTGTTTGTTTGATAGAAAGGATAGTTAATACAACTTATCATTGTGATCTGGATCGTTTCTAGGACGTTCTGGTGAGGTTTGATCAGAGCTACTTGAAAATCAAGTATCTGTACAGGACCATACAGGTTTGTGTTTCGGGTTTTGAGGTTTGTCCTCCACCCTCCTCTCTTGTCCATCGTACGGAACTACAGTTGACACTAAACTTAACAAAATCCCACGCTGTTGCCTCGGGTCGCGAGCAACTGTGTGGGACTTTGTTAAGTTTAATGCAAGGGCTCTTGTAAGGGCTCTGGTCTAGGTTCTCGAAGAGCTTAACTCTATGTATGAGTTTAGTCTAGATTTTTAGAGTGATGAAAGCTACTTTAATAATTCAATAAGAAAAGAAATAAAACAATACTAGCACATCAGCGGCGGGCGCCGCTTCCAAGATATCACATTATGAGGATGGCATCTATTGTCTTCTATGTGGCACAAGACCCATCATGACTGATCTTGTGATTCCTCTTCAAAATATTGCTTGGGCTCATATTAAATGAGCAGCAAAGATTGAGTTCAATGATTGATTTCATTCAGCCGTTGCACCATCTAGATTGATAAGTTTCAGACTTTGGAAGCCACAAAAACATACTTACCAATATCAACACCGAGACAGCAGCGCAGCGCAGCGTTACGAGGCAAGTTGCGCGCTGCGTAGCTGTTTCCGTTATCAGGAAATTTCCCGATTTGACAACGCTGCTTGATGAGTTACGCTAGCCAATTTTGCGTAACTCATTTGGAATCTCTCCGTTATCTCACATTGATAACGTAGCTCCTATAGTTACGTTATCGCTAAAGTAACGTGATAACTTGTAAAAAAATTCTCGAACCGCCAAAAATATATACATAAGAGAATGAAGAGAGCCTTTAATTAAAGAAGTTACTAAATAGAAACAAACAATTCCCACTCTCCAGACATAAAGAAAGGAACAGTTTGAATGAGGTCACAAGAAATCTTGTACCCTAATATGTTCCACAACGCTGAGGAATTCATCACCTAGAGGGACCCCCTCGACTAACCACATACGGGTTGAGACCGACCTCTCAATAGTGATTGGAGTCAGGCCCCCTCGACTAGCTGAACATACATCAGCAGCGGCGGAGAAGGTTCGCTCCGGTTGGGCCGAAGATCCTGAAGTGGCCAGGTAGTCTTGAGCCATCAGTGCAACTATTGGAAACCTGGTGTGGTTTACCTGCGAAGAAGCAAAGATGAGTACAAAAACAAAGGAGACGATAATAACCTTGAGACTTACCGACCACCATCGCAGTGCTTCGCTTGGATTGCCAAGATCGTAATCGGGTTCTTTCATACGAAGAGCTCCTCAAAAATAATCTTGAACCTGAGAATCATCACCCAGGTCCTCGTGGTCATCATCTTCATCACTATAAACATCAAACATTGTCGAAGTTGACTGCTTTGTGAAACCTGTGTCATCAGATCTCAAAGTTGCTGGCTTTCTTGTAGTTGATTGTATTTGATAATGTTTGAATAATCTATTGAATGTGGCTTCAGCTTCAATGAAAGTTCTTGAGCTCTTTTCAAATTTCTTTTCAAAATATCTAAGTCGAAAGGCCGGGTGGAGGATGGTTGCCATCACGAGAGTTTCGGTCGAAAGAGCTTCGTCCAAGTAGAGTTGGACTTTGGTGATCATCGCATCTATCATGGGATAGAGTGCATCACTTGTTGACATCTTGAATTGTCGTTCTTGTGATGCAGCTTGCAATTGAACATACTGCGGTATCACCATTGCGCCAGTTGGTAGGTTACCCTCCATCTGCTTGGTGATTGTCAAGAACGGCTGTACGAAGGATATAACTCAATAAGTACTGTATAAGTAAGTGATCTTTTCTTGAAACTGAAACTTACCTCAAGCTCGTTGTTGAGCTCTTCAATCGAAGCCCATTCAGATGGAGATATAGTAATCTCATGGAAGTAACCGTAAGGCTTCCCATTTTTGCGAGGCCGACGAGTCTTGGAGTTTACCCGTTCCAGATCCTCTTTCAAAAGCTGATCTATCACCTATGACAAAGACAATTGAACATGTTGATTTGGTGCCAGATAAGAAAATGAATTGAAATAAGAAAACAAAATAACCAAAAAAAAAACCAACCTCACGTGCCAACCACGCTTTGTGGCGACTTATATACTTGATATTCCACCTAATTCCGTAACCTGCAATTAATGAACCAAGTGATAGACCACGACTTTTCTTGACACGATTATATTCGTTGCGCCAGGAAGATGAGCGGGTAATTCTTCGTATGACGAAGTCGAGCTGGAGATGATAATGGTATCAGATGATGTAGATGTAAGTATTGTAGTAATGAAGGAAGAGGTTGGACAAAAACTAACCTTTTCAAGTATATAATTGAGTTTGTTGGCCTCTCGTTGATGAGTTGGAGCCACGTTGTCTTCAAGTAAAAGAATCGGATTGCCTGCATCTGCCGCATCTGCCGCATCCCAGTCGAGCTCGTCGTCTACCGCTGCGATAGCTAAAGTACCCTCTAATCGACTCATGAAGTTGGCCTCGGATGAGTCTTTGTCCTCGACTTCTTGAAGGTCATGTTCATCATCAGACAATACATCTTCGTTTGGTGCCGTCGCGACGTCAGGTACCTCGACAACCGGTCCATCGCCAGCTCGTGGGTCGTCCGGCTCTTCGTCTTCAGCAACTGTTGCACAAACTGCAGGGAACTGGCCCCGATTGGTGGTCTTGATCTTGCGTGGGGCAGCAGTCTTGAGGCCAAGAGCAGCTAGACCTGCTCCTACAATAAGCGCAAGCTTATGACAGAAACAAAATGCGTGCATAGTCTCAGGGTTCCAGGTGTAGTTCAAATTGGGACCACAATGATCAATGAACTGCCGATGCATTTCATTGGCCATTGTCTTATTGTTTGACCCTGAGTCGGTCGTCTGGGAGAGCAAGTGAAGACGGGCAAAGTGATGTCAGCCTATATAATAATTATAATCAATCAAAGAGAGAGTACAACTCATCTTATCAGCGATGTTGTGCTTGATCAATATGTTGGCCAAAGGCTCAGCCAACCAGACACCTTGGTGTTCCCACGCAACAACCTTCAGCGTGAGGTGACGAGATACGAACTTCCAGGAAGGATCGATGTAAGTAACATTAGCGCCGATGAAGCCATGTCGATTACCCTTTGAAGTCCATATGTCATGTTGCATCGAGAATTTTGAAGTCAAGCCCTGTGATCACAATCGACATTAGTATTTGGAAGGTGGAATGAAAGACAACAAGGACTATAAGAATAAATTATGATCCTACCTTTAGTTCGTTAATAACTTGATTCTTCATTGACAAGTTGAGACGTTTGGCCTCTAGCGCGGCCCAGTGCCGTCCATACAGCTTCGCTTCAGGTCTAAGATACTGTACCGATGCTCGAAGCCAGGGATCGGCCAATCGTGACCAGGGTGAAGCTTGGCGAAGTAGCCAAACACACATTCCTTGGTTGAATGTGAGGTTGTCAAACTTAGAAACCTTCGTAGTAGTGACAAAAGCATCAAGAGGGCCGTTTGTTTGCTTCCGCTCAGATTCTTCTCGGGCACGGATTTCGGCAACTGAAGGAGGTATTTCCAGACCAGCTGCTTTAGCTCGGAGTCGTCCTGGGCAGCCAGTGGTCGAACGCCCTTCCTGAGTTGACCCATCCCGGTGGGCTTTGAGGTTAGCCGTGGGATTGCTGTAACTGATACGTACGGGTTGGTCCTTGCCTCGGCCTTTGCACCAGAGACAAGGATAACCCAAAGGTCTTTTGGTTTTATCCTATGCATAGTGGAATAACCGAAATATTTGAGTTTATGAAAATTTTATTCAAGATTGGTATAGTTTAGGACTTACATCGTCAGGTTTGCTGTGCCACGGTTGTCCATAGTATGCATATAGGTTGTCATTCTTCTCTACCTCGTCCAGATCGATAGGTTTGCGTTTTTGTACTTGTTGATTCTCTTGGTCTGAATCGGCGCGGAGAACTTCTTTGGTGACCTGATTAGAAGATGACTGGAAACAAAGTATGAGTCAGATTAGAGATCAATTACAAGATTGTTTCGATCATCACAAAAAACGTGTACTTACTTCATTGTTGACTGTGGTCTTCTGGACTGTTTTGCGGCGCTTTTTCTTAGGGACAACAATCTGAGGGCCATCACTCTCATCTTCGGAATCCATGATGACTGTTGCTTTGCTCTTCTTCGCAGTTGATTTGGATGGGCCATTGTCAACAGAAACTCTTCGCCGGCTATCGGGGGAAGGTCGAACCATTCGTGGGTTTGATGTAGGAATGCGCGTCCTTTTAGATCTACTAGGGGTGGTTTGTGATTGGTTAACGGGCATAGAGGTGGATGATGAGGAAAAATTGAGTTGAGATGGCTGAGAACTTGTTTGCATCACAGATAATTGAATAAAAACACAGTTGAACATGTGTATGAAGATGCCAACAAAGAAACGGCGATGTGGATCAATCATGATGGGGAGTAGTTCGAAGAGATATTGGTGAAGGTGGGGTGGAAAATATCGAGGGGAAATCTAGAGGAAAGATGGAGTGATTACCAAGAGAAATTATGGATCAGAGATCGGAAAAATCTAAATCGATGGCATGATGAAGCTGGAAGGAAGGGTTTTAAAACTCACTATGAGAAGAATCAGGCCGTGACAACTGCCCCTTGCGTCCATCATTCGACACGATCCTTCTGTAATGGGTGGTACGTGGTGGTGAAGTTGATGAAAGGTGTCCGTGCAGAGGCTAAATGGGGAAAGGCGTGGTGAAGTCGTCGAAAGGTGTCCGTGCAGAGGCTAAATGGGGAAAGGTCATCCCTTGCGTTCCGTAATGCGCAGCAGAGCTACTGTAGCGGGGTGCGGGGCTGAAACGTAACTGAAAAAAAAAACCCCGTTACCCAAAACTGATAACGTAACTCAAAAAAAATAAGTCCGTTACAAGATTCCGCCAACGTAGCTCTTTCGACTTACGTTAAGTTAACAGTAAACGTGACGCCTAGAGCTACGTTAGCGTTACGGCGAGCGCTGCTGTCTCGGCGTTGCCAATATGTACCACCACACCTATCAGTGATTGTGAATTACAGATAGATGTACACACTCCACAACTTTTGACAGATTACCAAGAATGATGTATTACACATGTGAGAGATAGTCTTGGCTGAGCTTAGGTACCACATTATGTATTACAGTACCATGCATTTTATCAATGTTTTAGGAAGTATTCAAGTCTCACAATGAATCTGACTTCAATATGAAGCTTGAGATTTTATCTTAGAAATAGAAGAGGAAGTTACATACACAGAAACCGGCGCAATGGAACACAACAATCGCCCATGGGCTTGATGTATGGCGCGAGGCACCACGACCCAACAAGAAACAAAAAACCACGGCAGACCAACCGGACGTTCACACGGAAGAGAGTTAGTTAACTAGACAAGACATCATGTACAATTGATCAAGTAAACTCCAATGCCAAAATGTAATGTGAGTGTTGATGAGGATGGCGAAGTAGAAATGGTGTCGAGTGCTTTGAAATAAGTTTTTAAATTCCTTTGAAATGCAAAGATTGGTTATGATAGCTTTACATTTGAAATGCAAACATTTGTTATGAAATCGAACCTCAGCATGAAAATCCTCCCTTTAACATGGATTACCGGTCCAACCTTCCGGTACCTAAAGTTGCAATGAGGAGGGTCAACGTGTTATAACATGTTGGCCGCAAGAATATTTGAGACGAACCATAGGGATCCAAGTGCCGCCGAAGGCGAAACTTTGCCTGGTGTGCTTTCATAACACCACAAATCACATGATTGAGTTCGGAGGGAATACTCCTGCGGATGAAGTCTAATGCACATCGGTCAATGACCAGGTCTACTGCTGTTCTAATGAGGGGACGACATCCTTCAAGGTATGCTTCCACACCCGCGATAAATTCAATGACGTGCCCGCAGGTGGTCACCCACATGAGCCAGTTCGAGCCATCTTCCTCTAAAAAGTCCACTTCTTCTATGATATCATAAATCTTTTCCAATTTTCTGAACATTGATTGAACCACTTGAAAATCATCATATTGATGATCTCGAAGGGCTGCTTGGATACGTTGAGTGCACTGAACCGCGTGCCCGAATGGTGGAGTGCACATAGCGAACTAAAGAAAGAGTTTGAACAAAAGATACAAAGTCGGTGTAAAAGATGAAGAATATAAACATTGTCAGAGAACAGGTCAGTCACCCACCTGGAGTTTGTGGAGTTGATGAAAAAAAAGGTGATAATGCCTGCGATGGGCGACGTTCCATTCGAAGCGCAGGGACTTTCTATACTCTCTGCCTTCCTGCCGTTTGCTTGGCCAAGGGCCAGCCTTGCTCCAATGGCCACATCTCCAACCTCTTAGATTCCACATAGACGGGTTGGGCCATTTGGGCAAACAGAAAGGGAAACCAAGAGGTGTGGCACCAAGCAACGCCTATCTGCCGCCTGAGAGCTCAAACAGGCCTCATTGTTTGCCAAACATGCAAACTTTTCGGCCCTGTTTGCAAACAATGAGGCAACGAGAGGTGTGGAGTTGGACCAAGCAACGCCCATCTGCCGTCTGCGAGGTCATCAGCAACGTCTAAACCTCGCCAGAGAGGACCCGTTGCACGCTCTGGCTTGACCCAAAAGGGCCTTTCTCTGAATGCGGACGTCTTCCTCCGTCTGAAAGGTCTAAACCTCGCCAGAGTGATCCCGTTGTGTGATACGACAAGCCCTCCCCCCCGTCTGAAAGGTCTAAAACTTGCCAGAGCAATGGTGTCGCATGCTCTGTCAAGCCCACCCCACTCTCTGTGAACTTTTTGTTCATAGACCCAAAGATGCGTGTTCTGTGACTTCTGGGCCGGAAGGTCACAGTCGATCTTCCTGCCCAGCGTGTTGCCCTGCCCCGATATATAAAGACAAACCGGCTTGCGCCTTTGTCCCCACTCTGCCCAAAAACCATTCGATTTGACATCGTTTCTCTCTTCCTTTACATTTTTTTGAATTTTCCTCCAATTCCCACGCTTTCGCCAAAAGCTCTTTATCTTTTTTTGTGTTATCAAACATCCAGAATGTCTTCCTTCCAAAACCGTTCTTTCAGTCAGTTGTTATCTTTTTTTTTCATATCATTTCTCCCCTAAAACTCTTCCTCCGTTTTGATTCGTCTCAGGCAATTTGAGCCAAGAGCTCAGTGGCCTCGGACCTGGGTCGAACTCGCCTCAAACACTGGTCAATGCCACCTCCCTCCGTACCTTCAATAACTTTGGTACTTTACGAGGTAAATAAACTTCTACATATTTACACCCCTTCTTTGTGTATAAATTTGTCCTCACTCTCTGTCGTTTCGCTATCTCGCCAGGTTACAGAGCCCCGTCTGGGTCAGCCCGCTCGCGAAACAATCGATCATGGTCTCCTACTTCTTGATTGCCACCTGATCCTGAAGATGACGCCTCCCAAGACTTTGACTCGGTAAATCCAAGAGCCTCCAGACCGCTTGGGCCTGGCGAGCTTCTCGTGTTTGACGAGTTAGTCACCAAGGCGGGTCTGGATGTTGTTCACCGGGACTTAGCACTTACCAACTCCGAGGTCAGTTACTTGACACTTTTTCGTTTGTTACTGTTCTTGCGTTGCCGTCCAATTGTAATACTGAGTCAGCACGATTAGTCGCAAGGCCCTTTTCGCCACTTGGTCATGAGTGTCAGAATGGCCAAAATGCTTTTTGAAATGACCAAGTTAACCGACCACCTCTTGAAGATGTCGGATCAAGTTGGAGGCCTCTTGGATAAGGTCGAAGCTGGTTTGGTGAAAGTCAATCGACTCTCGATGAAGGGGGGAAGCACGTCTGACAAGGTTGAGAGTATTACTGAACACCTTGAAACGCTCACCGAGTTAGTGCAATCGGCACCCACGGTACAACCAAATGCCAATGGTAATGCTTCGGTTTGGGTTAATAACGCGGCTGCTCCCACCCCAGTTGCTTGGACTTGTTCTCCCGAACTCAGGGTATGAAGTCTCTCTTCTTTTGTTCCTACTGTTATACTAATGACCATATCTTCCAGAACGCCATAGTGAACGCTGCTCACAGGTTCATCATCATGGACAATTTGGAGTCTTATACGGCTTTGGAGACCCCCGAGCGCGTATGGCTGACTTGCTCACTCTTCAATTGTATCAAGGTGGGTTTTAACTCTCCTCAGTTCCAGTTTTCTGAACCCAAACTTATATGTGCGATACATAGACCGCTGTTTGGCAAAATGGTACTGTGTCCCAATTCTTGCCACCTCAAGTCAATGGCGTCAGTGAGGTCTCATCGACTCGCACTTACAACACGGAGATCAAGAACGTGGCCAAGCATGCGCGCGAGCATCTTCACTTGCTGGTCAGTCATGCCCCTCTCTTGGTTGGGTCTACACATGCAGGCTAATTCCACCGTGCAGCTTTTGACCGGAGTGTACAATCCCAAGAACCCCGTAATACATGGCACCGTTCCCAACCTCAGGGCTCTTTTACATCGGGTTAGTTTGGTTTATTTTTTTCTACATTACCAAATGAAATTGACCCTCGGCTTCGTCCACAGATTGCTATTAAATTTGGGCAAGCTGCCGACCATGCAGACATGGATTCAGTATGGGCAAGCACCAGCGTCCTCACACGCTGCCGAATAGCATATCTCGTGGGTCACATTGGTCTTCCCTGTCTTTGATTCCATTTCACTCATTTTTGTACACTTTCCTTGAATAGCGTCAAGAAGCTGTGCGCATTTTCCAGAAAGGACGCGGCTCCAGTTCCATTTGGGCCGCTGTTGACCACCAGCTCAACGAAATGCGTCAACGAGGGGGGGAATATACAGCCTCGTGAGTATATCTATATGGATCTTTCGATTGGCTAAATTATACTAACCTGGTTGTTTCCATCAGGTTTTATAAGATTGTATATGATGATGATTGAGATACGTTTGATGGACAAACCGTCTTTCAAGATATAACGGAAAACGTTTCATTCCGATTACCTTGGGAGGCGGACGTGAACGCTGGTATCCTTGGAGTTCCAGATGAAGACATGGACCAATGATTGACTTTGACGCTGTTCGACCGATGTCACGCCCGTTTATGACATTGTTTATTTCAATGAAAATAAAATGTCTCCCTCCTTACAAATTACCTTTTCACTACAGCCTGTGTGCGCTCCCAAAATGTTCAAAGGTCCAAATGAGCGCCCTAACCCTTTCCCCCCTCAATGTCAATGAAAAGCATTATATGATTTGTTCTTTATCTTCTGGCGCGACGCAAACGCCGCGTGACGAAGCCCCTTGGGGCATTGTCATTCATGCCCGCGCCCGAGCACGCCTCCCGGTTTTGCCTTTCTGCGCACAGTGGTGCTCCGCACTGCTATCTCGGCGTGCCCTAGCCTTTCGTGGGCCCGCCCCTTCCCCCTGCCTGCGCACAAGCCTGATGGACCGACTTTAGTTCGATCAATGCAGCCTGCGGTCTGTTTGAAGGCGGCAGTGGGGCCGGGCTCGCCAACGGTCACCATACGGCCAAGCCATGGTCTACCCATAGACCGCCCTTCACTGCGCAGGGTTGGGCGGCATATAGACAGCCGGGGCCGCCCGTTCATGGGCGGTCCAGACCCTCCCATGGTGTAGATATTTTGGTGCTTCGACCACATAAGCACCTCTTGTCGCTACTTGTGAGGTGCAAAAGGTCTTGAAACCAATTGCTCTTTGCATGTATTTAGAGTCAAACAACATATAGACAGCAGATAGACATCATAACAACAAGAATCAAATGAAATAAAAAAAAGTTTGAGGGTTACACATCAATTAGCCCATCATTACGTGGTATGCATCAATGTGCGCGATATTTCTTGACCAATTTCTCAGCTAGCATCCCAGTGAATTCTTGTCTTAATGATCAGAAATAAAGAATGTTAGAAGATTGTGATGAAAAGAGGTGAGAAAACAAGACTCACCAATAAGCATCCATGTGGCAATCGACTTTTTGAAAATACTTTCGGATGGTTGATACCGGACAGCGCTTGCGAATCTGCTCAAAGAGAGCCTTGGACTCCTTGAAGGTTTTGTATTTGAAACTGTTGACCCGGTAATCTTTAAATTAAAATATTTCCAGTCAGATATCAAGGTAACCATATGTGAAACAATAGAAAATAACTCACGGTACTTGATGAAGGACCAATAGAGCTCTATTGGGTTGAGTTCACAGTGAAACTTTGGGAGGAAAAGGCAAATATGCCCGGCTTCCTCAATCAACATTTGAAGCAATGGCTTCTCATTGACAAAATAGGACTGCAAGCTCAGGATTTTTGAAGCACAGCACATTGGATCGTCAGACTCTTCAATGTTGGGGATAGCTGGCTTGTCGCCGTTTTCATATGCCTCCTGAGCTTCCTTCTCGCGTTGCAATCTATCCTCTCAAGCAGCCAGATCTCGTTTAGTGTTTGATAACTTGCATGATGGACAGCGGAAGACAGTCCTCTTTCCTTCTTGCTTGACTTTTTCTTCATAAAGACTCCATAAGCCACGCTCAATGAGAACACATCGAACACCTTTTGTTAATCCAGCGAGTTTGGGATCAGGATGGTTGGGTCAATATACCATTGACTTAGGCTGCCCACAAAGCTTGACTGGTATTCAAGGATCATCAGTTGGGATGGTAGTACCTCTTAGTATTTTGGGGTTTTTTCCACCAGGCAAGAGGTTGATGTTTGAAACTCATAGAGCAGAGGGTCCGTAGGATTTGTGTGCAGAGGAGCAGTCGAATATAAAGACTCCCTGTGCATTAGGAAACAGGTACTCGAAGATGGGAATTGCATGTGTTCGGACTTGGTCAATGAGCTGTGCGCAGTCCCATCAAGTATCACCTTTGGTACCAGGATAAGTAACAACGGCGGCATCATCAAACAAAGGCATTGGGAGGTTTCCGTGACAATCTTCAGTTGTGATTTCGAGCCGACTGGTTCTGGTGGCTGGTGTTATCCAGTCAGAGTTGTGAATGAGTCGGCCGTCGCTCTTCTTACGTAATTCTTGAACACCGTGCTTCACCCAGGCGCGCTTAGGACGCTCATTTGCATGTACAGTTGATTTGTCGTGGAAAAGGAAGATGGTTTCCTTCTGACCTTGAAGGAGGAGAGGATCAGGTGCAATTGACAGCTCAAGATTGTTGCCCAAGTAGGTTCAAGATTGTTTTTGAAGGGTTTCCATGGTTTCAAGGTACTTTTGACGGGATTCAACGACATCAGGCCTTTTGTGTCCGTCAAAGTATAGTCCTTTGCTATATTTGTGCGCCCAAAAACCAAGGCAGTGAAGCCATCGATGGGCGGTGTTCAGGCAGATAGTCTTTTGGAGACCATGTTTGGGTAGTGCGACAGTATTGACATGGTGAAGGAAGGATAAGGGAGTGAGCTGTTAAATATGTAATCAAAGTGTGTCAGCGTTACGAATATGATAGGAGGCATTTAAAAAGGAAGAAAAAAATTACCTCTCCAGGGTTTTTACCGATTGCCCAAGAATGAAGCAAGTTGAAAAGATTCTCATCATCCAGCATTGACTTCTGAGTGGAGCTGAATCCTAGTTGGCTCAAGATCAATTTCTTGTGCTTTGTGAGATAAGCAGCTTGTGCTCGAATTTTTTTGCCTCGACTAACTCCTGTAGTTGGTTAATTGACGATGTTTCTATTTACAGGTTGTCTACAAATTGAGGAGGCTGATGTGAGGATTGAAGCAGCGACAGCTGGATTATTTTCACCTTTGATAGTGAGTTCAAGACGTCGTGAATTGAATTCTTGGAGGTCGTCAATGATGGCTGATGGGTATTCGAATATTGGTTGTTCTTTTTTCATTTGCTTGTACATTTTTTCAACCTCAATTAAATCATCATTTAAGCTGTTGTATTGATCCTGAGCTTCTTTCTCAATATCTTTAGGTACTAGATGAGCTTTCTTGCTGGATCGATATTGATCAACACATTCATTGAAAACTGAGACTTGCCAAGTGCTTTTTCACGATTCTTCTTGTGTCGTCTCTTTGTCTCTTTTGGAATGATTTGTAGTGCAAGCTTCTTTGAGTTGATTTTAAGTCGGGGTTGTTTGTAGCCTTTGAGAGTTTGTCCATCTTTGGTTTTTCTTTTGCCGAGGATTGGTTGGTAAAAAGAAGGACGAGTAAAAACAGGAAATGATGCTTTGTTGATGAGGTAGGTATTGCATGCTTTGTCATCTGAGGAATCCGCAATGTCAGCTTGTGCATATAGAGGTATGCCCAAGGGATCCATCTCGTCCTCGTCTGTTTGATAATCTGGATCAATAGGCATCCAGTACATCCCAGTAGGTTGGAGGACAACTGATTGAGGAGGTTGGGGGGTTTGTAAATCCTCAGCGTCATAGTTAGAGTTGGATGAAAGTGTGATAACGGTCTGTGATGGTGTCATTGTCTCCGAATCGGCATGAGGTGGGTTTGGATCAAAGGTTATGTGTGCTGCAACAGTTGATTTGTCTTCCGATTTGGAATCTGACATGGCTTTGGCCTTTCTAAGGTTTCTCCAGCGTCTTCTTTGAGCCCTTACAGCTTTGCTTGCCTTTGCCATGGTGTTGATGTGGGGTTATGATTGAATCAAACCATGTATATGTATGTGGTTGAAAAGTGTCAATCAAATGAGGGGAAAGTGGCAATTAGGTGGGGAAAAGACAAAAACCCTGGAAGACGGACCACTCAGAGCATCCACAGTGGTGGGCTCCAAATTGGGGCTATCGCCAAATTTGGTGACTGAGCCCCGATTTTTTGGTGCAATGGCAGTCCCCATCGCCAAATTTTTTTGTAGCCGGCTTCAAATTTTGAGCTTTGGGCTACAAATTTGGCAACAAAAAGCCGGGCTCCAAATTCCCGCACTTGCTCAATCCCATACCTCACACATGCAAGCCCACGCGCACCAATCTTGAAGTGTGTGTAAACACATAGAATCTACACTTTTGAAGTCTAAACGACTGCATCCGGATTGATTTGGGGCCCCACCAAATTTGGATACACTCGATTTGGAGCCCCAATTTGGAGCCCACCACTGTGGATGCTCTCACATGGTATTACTGGAGCCTCCAAAATTTGGGTCTCGGGGCCGGCCCCGTGGGTCAGAATCGTGTTGAGACTAGACTGGATCAACTGTATTGTTGGAACTTTTGGGCCGTTGAGGAATGGAGAGTGCCAAATTATAGAAGGCAGTTGTGCGTTTTTTTTTTCATTATCTGCTCATCGCCACTTCATAAGAGCATCCGCACTCGTTTGCGGTTGTTAATTTGGTCACGTGCGGTAACAAACACAACATTAAGTAAAAAGTTACTTAACTCAACCAAATTTCGCACTCGTTTGCATTAGCAGCGCTGTAACTTTTATAACTTTACAGATAGTGCATGTACTCCGCACCGGTCGTGCAGTAAGGTAAAGTTTTAATTTTTTGAGTACACATCACCTGCTTTCATGGCCAGTTTTCATGTGATAGAGGCACTGTTCTCTTCTTTGCACTAAGATACTAATACTCCATCTACACATGAAGACCCGATATCATCCTGTTCATCTACTCGATCGATAGATCTTAATTTAAAATTACAAATTTAACATGAGTTTGTTCAGATCTTAATACATGAATTCCAATTAAAAAACAAAGGCTTTACTACATCGAGAAAGCTTTTAATGAGTCTGAATACACATAATGATCTTGTAAAAGATTTAAAGATTTAAAACTAGGAAATAAAAATCCAAACTTCAATTTTTAATTTGTATCACTTGATCCTAAAAGTCCTCCAATGATTGGTCTTTTAATGTTGATTTTCTTAAATATTGACCTCTACATAGCTATATGAATCTAGACATCTTTCATTTTCATCTGAATGGTTTGGAGTCGAGTTCAAGATGGTTGATTGACTTATTTCAATTGAAGACATCGATCGGTGTCGAACGTTCTTGAGTTGATTCATGCAACTGTAAGGCTTGGAATTCATCGTGTGTGAGTGGTGAAAAGGAGATATTGGTTGTTGACTTTGGTGTTGGAGGTCTGGTTGAGTTTTGTT